CTGACACTGCCCCTTTTCCCTGTATGTTCCTTTGATATGTTAAAGTCTTACCTACTTTTAATATATAAAAAGGAAAGTGTACTTTCAGTCCAGTGAGCATGTCTTGAGTGCTAGGGGAAACCCTTTCTCTGCGATATGCTCCCCTTCAGCTGATTGAATTAAAGATCTCTGTTTAACGATCTCCCAACCTGAGTGAAGAATTAGTTTTCTTCAGATAAATGTGTTAAAATAGGTCACTTGAAATGACTAGGTGGAACATAAAAACTATGGTTTTGTTATAATATAATTGTGTGTGTGTGTGAAATTACTCAAAAATAAAACCTATGCGATATTGTACTTATTCAAATTAATCTCAAAATCACAAATGTTTGATTTACAGTCAAGCAATATCAAGTGTTGACTTTTTGCTGTACTTTTGGACACTGCTCTTCTGTGGTTACATTATAAATACACACAGAGTCTAAACACATTCTGTGACTGAAATAATTAGTTCACAGGTTCTGTTGGCAGGTAATTTGCATAGCACTGGTGATTGTTCACTATTTTAGTTTTTGCAGTGCTCTATTTTTGTGGACATTTTCAAAATTGCCTTCTTCCCTGCGCAAACCATCAAAGCTTTCAATCTTACGATGCAATTTACATTTTTTTAAATGGTAGAAGTTAAACCCCAAATTGAAATTGCTTTTAACAAAGTTTGTAGGTGAAGTTTTTTTTCCCCATTTTGTGTCACCCTGTAACCCGAGTAGCTATAAACAGCTGGCCCTGCTGCCTTAGAGCGAGACTGCTGCGTAGTAGAGGTCAAAGTGGTACAAAATTTGAATACGTTGCTTAAGTATTTAAAGATATTGATTAGGCTAAGATGTTTTTCATTATCGTTAATGGTACTAATTAGAAAAATATACACTGGTTATAAGCATTTTAAATACATAGTGGCTCAATCTAAACTATTTCTATGTTATTCATCGCTGGTTTTCATTTGAACTCATTGAATTGTGTGGTGCATCTGTTTCTAGCTATGAAATTGCATTGTCCTCAGGGCAGCATTTTGCTTTTCAACTTGGGAGATGCGGAATGGCATCCAAATGAGAATTTAAAGACAAAAAATAGTTTAATGCTCCGGTTTCCTCCCACTGTCCAAAGACATACAGGTAGGTTAATTGACTTCTGGGAAGTTTGGCTCTGGCGTGAGTGTTTGAGTGTTTGTGCCCTGTAAGGGACTGGCATCCCATCCAGGGTGTGTCCTGCCCTGCACCCATTGCTTGGTGGGGATGGTCTCCAGCTCCCCCACAACCCTGAATTGGATGAAGCAGTTTAAAAAATGTATGGATGGAAGCTAACTAAAATGTGATATAAGAAGTGAAAAGGCATTGTGAACAGGCATTAATCTCCAGCAAACCAGACAAAGGGAGAAGAAGGAGATCTGCAGTGTGGGATTGAGGAGGAATTTCTCCACCCTAAGAAATGTTTCAGCTGCCCGCAGTAGAGGCCAGAATGGAAGTAGCACTTTCACTGTTGGGGGGTGGGGAGGGAGGGGTCATTGCTAAGCTGGACGCACTGGAATATGGACCCTGGAGGGGCTACGTTTCACCTGAGAATACAGGAAGAGGGCAGAACCACCGAAGAGTACAGCAGGAACTCGTATGAATGACTGGAGACAACTCTGGGGAAGAGACAAAAGAACGCATTCAAGAATCGGGCGTGATTGGGTTCTGAATGAACTACATGACTGTGTCTTCTGTAGGTCTTCTCTATCTGTTTGACACGTATGCAGCTCGGCTGATTCCCTGTGGTTTGAGGCTGGAAATCTGTACGCATTAATCTTCATGGCTTGAAGATACTGGGAGTTACTAATTTAGCCATGCAGAAAAATGTATTTTTCATTTCTTTGCAAGAAGAAGGTTTTTATGTCGAAATGCTTAACTACCCTTTTCTGCTCTCTGAGAACTGTATAAATGGCTAAACTGCGTGACCTTTTGTATCCGTCACTGCAGTCCTCAACCACAGCAAAGCATTTAAATACATTTGCAATCGGGACTTTTCCAGTTCTTTCTTTCCTTGAAATGAGTAGTTTTACATCTGACAAATATTAGCTGCTGCCTCAAACTGTCATGACGGCAGGCTCTAAAGTAACGAAATGTGTAAACTGTGCAGGGGTGTGATACTTCTGCAAGGCCCTGTAACCTTTAGTAAACCCTGTCCCGTCACGACAGCAGAACGGCCCAGAGAAGTGTCCTCACTGTTGTTTCGGTTGCTAGGAACCTGAGCCACTTGCCTCTTGAGAGAAATTTTAGGATCACGGCTAAGATGACTTCAGTCTGGGGCTGCATCCAATTTGTGGAAAACGTGGCAATGGTAATCGACGACTTTGGAGAAAAAATTATTGTTTGGCATGCGTAAGAAGCCAGCATGCCTTGTGATGTTCTGGAATTATTTACTACTGTAGATGTGCACTGTCTGGGCCTCCGTGAAAACTTAAAAGCGCATAAATCCCATAGCAGCTGTGCTTCCACTCCAAAAGAAATTTGCCCGAGTCTTCATTTCTGAGGCCTTAGCTCTGTGCTAGAAGGTGTACAAATCCCTCAGCTTATAACCAGCTCTATGCTTGACCACTTATTAAAGTAATGGCATGCAGAATAGTTGAACAAAAATAGCTACGTCTAGCCTGGCCTATAAAAAGTTCATGATATCAGTATTTATAGATCCTCCTGTATCAGGCTGGAATCCAGAAGAGCACATGGAGTGACCTTTGTCTCTCGGGCTGGAAGTCACTACTGATCCACAGATAGGCCCCAGGGTAGTTGTTCCTCTCTGCACCCCGTCTCAACAAGCTTTCCATGTGGTGTGGCTGAAGCCTCTGCAGAGTTTTAACCAAAATATGTGGCAATATATGGGAACTGTTGAGCATGGCAGTGATTGAGCAGAGGACATACTGTAGTTCTCTGGGAGTCTTGTGTAATCATGTTGGCAGTATGCTTTAGCTCCAATGCCTTAGTATTTGCAAAATAAAACTCGGGGGGGGGGGGGCATTCAGCACATTGATACTACTTAATTAGACAAATGGTGACTAACCAAAGGGTTAGGCACTGCTGCACTGCTCACAGCGCTGGGGCCCTGCATTCGATTCCAGACCTGTGGTGCTGTCTGTGTGGAGTTTGTATGTTCTTCTTGGGTTTGCATTGGTTTCCTCCAGATGCTCTGGTTTCCTCCCACTGTCCAAAGACATACTGGTAGGTTAATTAACTTCTGGGAAGTCTGGCTCTGGGGTGAGTGTGTGAGTGTTTGTGCCCTGTAAGGGACTGGCATCCCATCCAGGGTGTATCCTGCCCTGCACCCATTGCTTGGTGGGGATGGTCTCCAGCTCTCCCACAACCCTGAATTCCATGAAGCTGTTAAAAAATGGATGAATAGCAGCTTACTTGAATGTGATATAAGAACTGAAAAGGCATTGTTAACAGGCATTAATCTCCAGCAGACCAGCCAAAGGGAGAAGAAGAAGATCTGCAGCATGGGGCTGAGGAGGAATTTTTCCACCCTAAGTTTTCATAAATTTTTCAGCCACCCATAGTAGAGGCCAGAATGGAGTAGCGCTTTCACTGTTGGGGGGGGGAGATGAGTCATTGATAAGCTGGATGCACTGTAATATGGACCCTGGAGGGGCTACGTTTCACCTGAGAATACAGAAAGAGGGCAGAACCACCGAAGAGTACTGCACGACTCAGTCGTGATCAGGATAAGGTTTTGTGTCTACAGCTGGACGCTAGACAAAGCCACACCGCCCATGTGGATCGTGTTCCAGTACACCAGCTGAGGGGCAGGTTCAGGGTCTTCTGTGGTATTTTATGTTTATTTATAAGTATTTACAGCAAAAAGCACTCCTGTGGTAACACATTTATTTGCACTTAACTACAGAAGTAGATGGGGATGGGTACATTTTAGGTAGAGCTAGAGCGGGAGATGGAGTCTATACAGGTACAAGGCGGGATACACCTCAGTCCACCGCAGGGCACACAGACGGATACACCAGGGCTAATATCTTTGGACTGAGAAAGGAAACTGGAGCAGCCAGAGGAAACCCACATGAACATGGGTAGCACATACAGACTCCACACAGACAGCACCCCAGGTCCGGAATTGAACTCGTGGCCCCAGAACGCCATTGTTCCACCCAAAAGCAATAAACATGCAATAAATCATTTTTTATGACCATGTAGTTCTCTGTAATAAGCACTGTTTTGCAGTAGTGGTATTTTAGTGGTAAAGTTTTTTTTTTAAGAGGAACAGCAAAAACTAGGAAACTGAATATTTGTTCCTTATTAGGAGTTTTTGAGGTTTTTGAGATGGTTTCAGGGTAGCAGCAAGGTCTGCAGTCACTGCTTAATGCCAGCAGCCATATCACCCTGCAACTCACAACTGGCAGCCCACTGGAGCTCAGCAGGTGTGAGCGTGGTCAGTACCTGGATGGGAGACCACCTGGGAAAAACTAAGGTTGCTGCTGGAAGAGGTGTTAGTGGGGCCAGCGGGGGGCGCTCACCCTGCGGTCCATGTGGGTCCTAATGCCCCAATATAGTGACGGAGACACTATACTGTAAAACTGAGGTCCGAGAGTAGGGGTGTAACCCCTGTGTCGTGGCCAAATTTCCCATTGGCCCTTACCAACCATGGCCTTCTAATAATCCCCATCTCTGAGCTGGCTCCATCACTCTGCTCTCCTCCCCACTGAGAGCTGATGTGTGGTGAGCGTTCTGGTGGACTATGGCTGCCATCCCATCATCCAGGTGGGGCTGCACATTGGTGGTGGTGGAGGGGATCCCCATTACCTGTAAAGTGCTTTGAGTGGAGTGCCAGAAAAGCGCTATATAAGTGTAAGCAATTATTATTATTTTGTTCATCAGTAACTTCTGTATATGAAGCCATCAGCTTTAATGAAATGTTAGGTTATGTCTACGATGAAATTTCAGAATCCAAAATCTTAAACTCTCCTGTTCTTCCTTTTGTTCCAGGCAGTATCTCAAGGTCAAGAAAATATACCTTCTTTGCATCCCTATTGTACTTTTCATCGCCAGCTTTGGGCCTGTGTCTGTCAGGTAAGACCTGTCCCTGTCCCATCGAGAACAGCATCGCTCAGCTCAGGAACTCAGGAAATCTCGTCAAGCTAGTCAGCCTTTAAATCATCCCTGCTGAAGGTTTCCTTTTCAAGTGTAGTATGTTGTAATATCTTCTCTAATTTGCTGTAACTTCCTCATTTGTCATTTCTATTGGCTCATCAACACTGTATTATACAATATATGTAAAACTTGAACCACCCCCTAATATTTAGACTTTCCACTGTGCATAGTTTTACAGTTTTTACTTTATTTCTTGAATTTGATTTGCATAGTTAATTTTTGTTAACTTAGAATGTGAACAATTTATAATAAATGGAACGTAAACTATTTCTTCACGGACATTCCTTACTGCTGGACGATCTGAGTATTACTAGTCAAGACTTTTTATTGACTCAGTTCTTTTTTTTATGTGTATGAATTTGGATGTGAAGAATTCCTTTGTCCATTTCAAACATTCACAAGAAAAACTCTTTTGCTGCTGTGCACACATTGCTCCATTTTTAATCCAAGTGTTTTTCAAAACTCTTTAAAACTTCGTAGCATCTCTGTTCTAAGTCTGCATTGCCACCAGCTAGGTTTGCCTCTTCATGTTTTATAGCAACACAGATTTGTTTTATTTGTGCAGAAGACCTTGCTCCAGTCACCAAGTCACCAAAAAAAATCACTCCCTTCAGCAAAAAAAGTTGCTTGTGTGCACTACAGGCAGATATGATCTGTACTCACGCATACTTGGACATTTTCTTAGAAAGAAACTCTTAATATTTTTAGGTTTTGTAGTGCAGTACACAAGTCCCTAATATTGTATATCCTCTTTCTTTTGTATTAATGATATCTCTATGCAATAAGGTTGAATAAAGTGGTCATTGTGTCAAGGATATGGTCCACTTTGTGTGATGAGTTCCCAGTCCCCTAGTAGATTATACATCAAAACATGAATCATTTCCCTGCACACACAACCTCCTGAAACAGTGACACTATTAACCACCTCTTATGTAATGATTAGATGAACATTAGAAACTGATCCAGCAATTGATCCTTTAATTGATCATTGATTCATTGAACAGTGAAGGGAACACTGGTCCATGAGAGCTGAAAGATTTTCTGATCTTTGTTCCCAGTGGATCTGTAAATGACTTAATTGATCAAACCACCTGTTTAATTGTTCTGAGTTGGATTGTATAAAACCTATGAGAGCTGTTGGATTTCTCTTAAGGCCAGGGTCTGGGATCCCTGCACTGTGGGATGTCGTAATAAGGCACATTTAGTGGTAGTAGGTGATTCCTAAGGGTGTGCATAAACAAGCTGGCGATTCCAAATGTAGAAATATAAACTGAAATGTCTCTACTATGTTCACTACATCTGTGAGCAAGATGGAGCTATAAAACTCCACACAGTTGTGCATGTGTCCAATATCTTGTAACGTGATATTTTAATAAGGTCTTAACTGCACCTCCAAGTCTAGTAAAGAAAAAGTGGAGTCTTCTTTAACCAGCCACATTGGTTTACAGTGCAGTAGCTCGAATTTTGCAGGCAATGTACTGAGACAAAGGTTAAACGGACATTGCTTGTGTTTGTTAACAATAATAATAATTGCTTACACTTATATAGTGCTTTTCTAGACACTACACTCAAAGCGCTTTACAGGTAATGGGGATCCCCTCCACCACCACCACCAATAGCAGCATCCACCTGGATGATGTGACAGCAGCCATAGTGCGCCAGAACACTCACCCCACATCAGTGTGGAGGAGAGCAGAGTAATGAAGCCAATTCATAGAGGGGGATTATTTGGAGGCCATGATTGGTAAAGGCCAATGGGAGATTTGGCCAGGACGCCAGGGTTACACCCCTACTCTTTTCGAGAAACGCCCTGGGATTTTTAATGACCACAGAGAGTCAGGACCTCGGTTTTACGTCTCATCCAAAGGACGGCGCCTGTTTACAGTATAGTGTCCCTGTCACTATACTGGGGCATTAGGACCCACATGCAGGGTGAGTGCAGGGTGAGTGCCCCCTGCTGGCCCCACTAACACCTCTTCCAGCAGCAACCTTAGTTTTTCCCAGGAGGTCTCCCATCCAGGTACTGACCAGGCTCACACCCGCTTAGCTTCAGTGGTCTGCTAGTTGTGAGTTGCAGGGTATCTACAGATTGGCCATGTGCAATATCCTGTCAACACAGGAGTCAACGTTCCTCCCTCCCCTTTTGCAATATCTAAGATCTGATAGCTGTAACAGCCTTGGGTTTTTGACTTCCCACATCCTTTCAGCTTGTCTGTGCAATAGTACCAGTTAGCTGTCTAGAAGGCGGGGATATGGCAATTTCACTTTACTCAGGAAGTAATGCAGCTCTAACAGCAACAGCCTCTTCTCTTTGTGTTTGGCTCTGAGCTTTTTGAACCACCCTTGTGTCAGCCAGTTAAGGCCCAGCCTAATTGTTTGTATATTGTGTTTATTTGCAGGTTCTTTGAAGGGTTCATTCCCATGGAAAAGTGCATTTTGCCTCCTGGGACAAAATTACGACCTGAAAATGATGTTGACAATTCCCTAGATCTGTGGTGAGTGCTGTGAAGGACTGTGTATTTCCAAAGAAAAAACATATTTTGCGGGCCTTTTCTGTACTTTTTAAACGCTCTTTCTCAGTGTAAGATTATGGCAACTAATGACTAATCACCAGCATGTTCCTATACTGTGGGACTTCTCTTACTGTAAGTCACAAAGCTCAGGGAACCTGAGTTCCTGTTCACGCAAGAGTGACTTCCTGTGAGATCAAAGAAATGTCCTGGCTTTATTACAATACATACCTTCGACAAACCACAAATGACACCTGTGTGAAAATTCCGGCTTCCAACACAATCAGTATACAATTATGCATCACAAGTAACAGTGTTTTGCTGACATTTTTGGTGACCCCTAGTGCTGATGCCTTTGCCATTGATGACGGTACTTTCTGCAAGCAGCTAGCTTAGTGTCTGATCGGCCTGGGGAAAGGATAAAGCAGCACTGTCTTCTCGTTCTCATTCTTCTCATTCCAGCCAAGCTCTGCATGTCTTAACTGGGTCAGTCAGTTTCTTAACTAAGAGCAGTGAACACGCTTTTCAGATCTGTGCTTTATTGATTATGCAAGGCTGCAGATCCCAGATCAGGAGGGTAATGGCTATTGAGGCCAGTACCAGCTATTGGTGTACAAACTGTCAGAGCTGCATGCAGGCTGGTGAGGTGCGATTTTACAGCTGCAGAACCTGAGGGAACCAGTGATCCTGGATTTGTTTGGTCTGTGTTCCAAACAGCCCAGTGTGTCAGTATGTAGTGCACAAAATGACCTGTTGTGGACATTTTTACAGTACACCTAAAAAGCTATTTGTACTCATTTCAGTCAAATGAGATTATTTCAATACTTCAGGTTCAAACCAGAAAACATACAAATGTAAGATCAAGTGGTCCAAGAATCCCATCCTGCTGATCCTTAATGGATCCAAGAGATACAGCTTTGACCTCCAAGATGTAAGTGATTCTGTGTAAAGAAGAGACTCCTGCTGACAGGCTTAAAATATGTTTGCAAGTACTTTCAGCTTTGGGTGGAAATTAATATACAGTACCAATAAATTGATTTGTGTTCGCAGTTGCTTGTAAGTGGAAAGCTTCGTATTTAATCGATACTGTATGTAGACTGAGCTGTACATACAGAAATGTCTTCACAAAAAACAAAAAAAGTTTGTAAGATACAGCGAGGTTTAACACTTTTATCCCCATTTTGAATAGTTAAGGCTCCAGAAGCCCCAATGAAAGTATGTGGCTCAAACACTTTCACAGCTTAAAACAAAATACACAGGTTGTTTTTTTTAGTAGTTCAAGCATATTATTAAACCCAGAGTAGAATTTCTATTTGTACTCATAGGAGGACTCACTCCTTGTGTTCAGTTAAACCTCCTGTGTAGCACAGCAACCGTTTTTCAATATGCAAACGTGCCTGTGCAACAGTGCCCAGTGGCACTGATCCTGTTCCAGAAGGTGATGTCATGTCGTCCCTTGAACCCTAGACTGTGTAGAATTCTCCCTCTGTGGAGGACCAAGTCTTGCAGTGTACAGAGTGGCTGCGTCTGCTCTGAGCCAGCTAGCTGCTGTGATTGTACAGTATCTTAGCAGAGCTGTTCCCATCTCACACACAGGTTAGTTGCGATTCCTAGTTTTCTCCCTCTGTGGAGGACCAAGTCTTGCAGTGTACAGAGTGGCTGTGTCTGCTTTGAGCCAGCTAGCTGCTGTGATTGTACAGTATCTTAGCAGAGCTGTTCCCATCTCGCACACAGGTTAGTTGCGATTCCTAGTTAGGAATCATACTTTCTAGTGTGGAATCGTATTTCTGGAATTTTACATTTGCATTCAGGTGATCGATTTGCGGAAAGGTGTTTCAAAAGGAGCAGTTTCAAACTTTTTAAAATCGCAAGGGTTATGGTCAATCTGGGTATGATTCTGTTCATCTAAAAACCCAGCTCATAAACCTCTGACATGATAATTATGATTCTCATAAAGTATTTATAAGATACATTATTAAGTGAGGGAGTGGTTAGCAGTGCTGGAGCTCTGGGTTTGCTTCCTGGGGTGCTGTCTGTGTGGAGTTTGTATGTTCCCCTCAGGTTTGTGTGGGTTTCCTCTGGGTGCTCCACCTTCCTCCAACAGACATGCTGGTAGATTAACCAGCTTCTGTTAAACTGACCTTGTTCTACAAAAACAATATTGCTGTAAGGAGGGTCACTGTCACTATAAAGAAAGTACAGATGAATAGTTTAAAACTAAGTACTTCCTGGAGATAAGCCCATTGTTAAACTTTTCAGATAAAGAAGAAAGCAAAAAGTCATGTAGAAACTTGGGAAACACAGCAGGCATCTTTTTTCACTGCAGTCAGACCAGCTAATCAGTTCATTAGCCAGATTGGACAGAGCATGCACAGGAGACTAGGAATATGATGGTTTCAAGATGTGTGTGGAGTTTGTATGTTCTCCCCATGTTCTTATGGGTTTCCTCCAGGTGTGTTAATTTCCTCCCACGGTCCCAACAAATACTGGTAGGTGTAGTGTGCTCTCTGAAGGCACCAGTTCTGTAGGGGTTGGGCATTTACTGGGACAATTATTAATTGTAGCAGTAAATCACAAAATGATTCTTTTGATGGCCTTAGAATCCAACCATGCGATATAACTCAAACAACGCACACACACACGGGTACTAATACACGAGGATACATTTATTAATACATAAAATATGCATATAAACCTAACCGATCTTATCGTGAGGGTTATCAGAATACAAAAGATATATATTCATTCAGTTATGAAGAGTTACATATATCAAGAGGACATACGTTCAGTATATCATTCATTTAGACCGTTTCGTAAATGCACTTGGTTATAACTTCTACATTAGATACTCAAAACAAGTACATAACTCTTAGGAATTAAATTGATATCAACTGGTTGGGATAACAATTGAATTCTCGAGCTGTAATGCATTGAAGTTGAATACTCATCCAATCTCTGGGGATTCAGATCTCCTGCAGGCTCTCTGGCTCCGTGCCAGGCTGTGCTGTGCAGCTTGTGACGATGCGCTGCTGATGCTCACTGACCGGCTAGTTAGTGTTGGCTTTAACTAGCACAGTTTGTGCACAGGAGAAAAGATGACTGTGGGTCCCAGCAGCTCAGGAAGAGGACCGGTTCATTCCTGATGAAGCGCTAGTTCTGAATAGTGATTCAGCTGTCCACAGTTCCGACCTGTTCACGAGGCCTGCTGCTGGTGCTAACCTCGGGTGGATCCTCTGGTTACTCTCTGGCAACCTCCACTCTAGACTCTTAGAACAGAGGAAAGTTCTGGCACTCGGACACACTGGCCGTTCCGTGGTTGTCCGGGCTGAGTCTCAGGATGGTCAGGAGGCGCGCTGCGAGAATGTCCTGCCCTTGGGCGCCTTCTGCTCCTGGGCCGTCCTGCCCTGGAATTCTCCTTTGAATTCCCTTTAGAATTGTCTCAGAATAGTCCACTACAGGCTGTGTTGCCTGTTTTTACCTGGAGGAACTTCAGGTCATTGATTGGCTGAAAGTTCCATGGGCATCAGAGTCCCAGGTGGGTTACTCGGCCCTACCAGTCCCTGATTGGTTGATCAAGGTGAGATATGAATCACTTACTCCTGACACTTGGAATGCAGTCCAGGTGTCCATCTGGCACTCCCTAGACAGATAGGCGCCAATGGATGAGCATTGATCATGATAGCCAGGCTTAGCTAAGTGCATCCTCCTGTGGGAGCTGTCCCTTATCAAAAGAAAACATCTTTAAATCAGCCTGCATGAATAGCTTGAAGAGAGAGATAAGGCCTCATTTGGGAAAGCCCAACAACACTTAATTCTGTCTTATTAATAAGCCTCGCCGCTACATAGGTTAATTGGCTTCTGGTAAGACTGGCACTAGTGTGAGTGTGTGTGCATGCCTGTCTGTTTGCCCTACAATGGGCTGCCCCAGTATTACAGATTAATTATAGAACAGAACTTGTTTCCATCCAACCTCTCATATATATATATAATGGTGAACACAACAAGCACTCCAACCATATGCAGGGTTTAATAATGATAATTGGAAGAATAAAATAACGATGCTTCCTTTGTTTTTCTGAACAAGGACCAAGACAGGCAAGAAAGAGCCCACGTCAAGCTTGGCCTCAGTAAGCAATTTATCAGTGTTTTCTTTCAGCAAAATAAATTGTTGAATTAATGATACAAATAAATCATTCACCGAGATAACATTTATGAATATTACATCATTCCCTCACTTACTCTTATTCTAATTAATCTCACGGTTGAGAAAGAGAGGTAGGTAGATAGATTAGTAGAGATTATAGTTCTTTTGTGCTTTGAATGTTCTGCTCCATCCCATATCGTAACTGTACTCTTAATATGTGTTTGTGTCAAAAATACATGACTTTTTTATCAGCTCTTGCATTAGCTGATAAAGTATAGAGAGACTGGCTTTGAACGAGTCTTAGTTGGCGCAAATGAGCTTGCGAATGACTTGGAGGTAACCCAAGAATTCCAAACGAATTGCAAAAGAGAAAAAGACTCTTTAGTTACCAGTTTGCTGATGACCCTGTTACCGATCCCAAGGATTCTTACAAGGTACACTGCTTCAGCCAAGTCTTAGACAAGGCTATGCGGTCTTTGGAGCCACAGTTTAAGCAGTGGAAAAAACCTGTTTATTTATTTGGCTTTTTGAGTAAATTTAAACAAATTCCAAAGGAGGAATTACAAAAACATGCTGCAGATTTGGAAAATTGCGGTAACAAATGTTAAGCTCATTCAGGAAAACGAACTTGTCAAGTCTGTAAAGTTAGCAGAGTTAGATGGCCATATAGTGGTCAAGGAAATAGAAACACTGCAGCCAATTCTTCCTTCTTCATACTTTGGAAAGCCTTTGAAAATCGTGGAATTCCTTGCTTTGAATGAGAGAGCTACTGGATTTCCATTTTTTGACATTTGTTTGACATTTCTGATAATTCCAGTCAAAGTGGCGTCAGGGGAAAGAAGCTTTTCCAAATTAAATTTGATCAAATCTCATCTAAGGTCAAACATGCTCCAAGATAGACTCAACAGCCTTGCAATATTATCCACAGAAGGTGATGAAGCAAAAAACTTAAACTTTGAGGTTGCAGAACAGAAACCAAGACACATTTCTTTGTAAGTATTGTTTCATTTTAACACATTTTATGTCAAAATATAAGCTAATAAATATAGATATTTATATATAATGTAATAGCATATATTCCTGATACCTAATTTGAAACAATTTTAAGTCCAGGAGGCCCCACCAAAATAGGCCAAATGGGGTCCCACATTTGCTAAGACTCCACACATGGTATAAGCACCTTATGTGTACAACATTTTCTGTCCTTCTTTAAAGTCAAATTAGAAGTGGCTACACACATTTTGAGGTCATTAAAATTAAATTGACTACACGTGTCACTTTTTTTTCATGCAGAGGGAAATGTAATTTGTTTGTTAAACGGGTATGGTTCAGCAGGAGCAAAAAAAGGAATTGATAACATGGTGATAAACCCAGTGCTATCTGTCATTCCTACTGCTGGAGCACTGAAGGACACACTAGAGTCACCATGGCAACTGGCCGGACCTCAGCTAGACCTGCCAGTCAGCTGGTCGCTGTGGCCATGCCCTCTGGCAGGAGATCCGTTTCACCTGTGTGCAGGTAACCTCCACACCTGTCTCACGGGGAAAAGGCCACTTAAGCCCTGCGCTCAGTCTAACAGTTTTGGCCCCAAAGCCTCAAAATTCCCTGCTCTGTGACCTTTTGGATTTTTCTTCTGGTTTGTCCCATGGATCTCTCTGCTCTGAACTTGCTCTGTTGTTTTGGGTTTTGCTTTTCCACTTGTTTGCTTGTCTGCCTGTGTTTGGATTCTCCTTGAGCCCCTGGGGTGGTATGTTACTAAGGAGCTACCAGTGTCGTTAAACTATCCTTAGCGCCCATAGTACCTCCAAAGATCTATGCAGTAGTGAGTGTGCTGTTTTTCCGTTTAGCATTCATGTTAGCGGCCAGACCCAGTACTCCACCCTCTATTCCAGTAACCTCACCCTTCATGACTGGTTATTCAAGACCGCCCCCTTGGTGCATCAGCATAATCTGAAGGATGAAACAGGTCTCATTCTCAAATGGACAAAACATGCTTGAATGACTGATCCTGGGAAACGCACTCTTGAGAGCGCCTGAAGCCAACGCTGAGGCATTAGTTGTTTAGGATATAAGCCCTAAGTGTTTCCTGCTTACTGAGACACGTTGAAGATGTAGAACTGCTACCTAAAAATGGACCCATTTTGAGGATAAGCTGCTGCACTTGACCATTTGCTTTAGGTTTCACAAATGACTGCAGCTAAGTTAGGTTTGACAAGGAAAAAGAAGTCCGTTACTGATGTTCATATCCTGTGTTGCATGCGAGGGGCTGTGCAGGAGTTCCCTCTCCTGTTCCTGCTGGGCCCAGCTGAGCACTCGGCTGAGTTATCAACACCTTCATAGAGCCAACAGCAGGTTGAATTTGAACTCTTGAACTCTTGATTTGAACTCTTCTTCAATGTGAAGGCAGTGCCGTTTAGCTAGTTTGTTTCTTCGGTAGCTTCAAATCTCTTATCTTTGAGTACAAAAAATACAAAGGTTCTAACTTTGGCGACTCGTTGACTCAATTCAGAACTGAAGTACAGAGCTGAGCTGTAATGAAAACCAGCAGGTGTGGGAGTCCCTACAACTGGAGTTGGGAACCCCTGGGCTATAGAAAAGCAAAAACATTTAGAATAGTGTGTTTTAATATGATTATATAATAATAATAATTGCTTACACTTATATAGCGCTTTTCTGGACACTCCACTCAAAGCGCTTTATAGGTAATGGGGATCCCCTCCACCACCACCAATGTGCAGCATCCACCTGGATGATGCGACGGCAGCCATAGTGCGCCAGAACGCTCACCACACACCAGCTCTCAGTGGGGAGGAGAGCAGAGTAATGTAGCCAATTCAGAGATGGGGATTATTAGGAGGCCATGATTGGAAAGGACCAATGGGAAATTTGGCCAAGACGCCGGGGTTACACCCCTACTCTTTTCGAGAAACGCCCTGGGATTTTTAATGACCACAGAGAGTCAGGACCTCGGTTTTATGTCTCATCCGAAGGGCGGCTCCTGTTTACAGTATAGTGTCCCCCTCACTATACTGGGGCATTAGGACCTACACAGACTGCGCCCCCCTGCTGCCCCCACTAACACCTCTTCCAGGGGCAACCTTAGTTTTTCCCAGGAGGTCTCCCATCCAGGTACTGACCAGGCTCACACCTGCTTAGCTTCAGTGGGTTGCCAGTTGTAAATTGCAGGGTGATATGGCTGCTGGCCATATTAATTCATATTAATAATATGCTGCACATATTATGTGTATATATAATATGTTATGTTTACATTTTATTTATATGAATATATTGCATAATATGATCTCGTTTTTTAAAACACAACAGATCCCAATGCTCTTTATTTTTTAAGTATCAGAAAAAAATATAAATGGATACTGAATACTGTTTCCACTGCTGGCGGCACTTCCCTATGTGCTAAACTGCTATTTGCAGGACCAGCCCAGATAGGACTGACACCATCGACAGAGCAGAGAGTGATTAGCTAATACCTAACAGCAGGGTAGGGATACAGGAACACAGGGGGCTGTTTCCAAATGGGACATGTAAGTCTTTTAATGTAAAAGCAAATAAACCGAAAGCTAAATTAAATAAGTAGACTTTGCACTTCATTGAGTAAACTCCAAATCTGTCTCTTCCAAGGCGGAAATGATTTTGTGTTTGGTTTGGGATATTTGATCTAGATAATGCCAGCATCTCTTCACTTTCTTATGTAAACAATGTCAGGGATGTCACAGTGTTAGTGATTCCAAATCTTTTTTTTTTCAAATGTAAAATAAAGATGGGCTCTTCAATTCCAAAAACATTTTCTGTGTTACTAAAGAGCAACTACCTTTTTGAAGCCAAATACATCCAGTGTTTTATTTGTGACTGAGCTTCACCAAATTCACAAAAAATAAACCCCTATTACTGATAATAGTCACCAATCCCTCATCAAAGAAGTTTCATTTTTGCTATACTAATAAATAATATTTATTGCTAGAATTAAAAGTAAATATATAAATGAAGAAATGACAAAGTTTTTGCAAATAAACATTCTACCTGTCCATGCTACCTTAATTAAGGATCAGTTTCTATCAACCAGTGATGGGCAGAATGACCTCCACATGCTAGCGAGCTTTCTTATGTCCATTTGTTGATTTAAATTAAAAACAAAACTTGAGAGCAAAGGATGGGGTACCGGCAAAAGATTTCTAACCAGTAAGTTAATTTGAGGATCTCAACCAGCCATTTTGTGAAGAATCACAGGATATCATCTTCATCAGACAGCAGAAAAACCCACTATCTTAATTAAAATTCACATAAAGTAGCAAGCAAAGAATAAGAAGAATATTACAACTGTGCAGAATTGATCAACATGTCTAGTTATCACAATAGAAAATATAGAGCAGACAAATATTAGTTCTGAAAGCTTGGAACGAATACAGTATGCCAAAACTCGTTGGTAGATCTATTTTATAATAGGGAGTTAAAGGGCAACAAGAATTATAATCATGTTTTCAATGTTATAAAATATAGAAACATAAAAATTCTAAAGATGTAAAAATGAATGGCCTAAGCTTATCAAAGGGTGTTCGATTTTTTTTTAAAGTCATCCAACATGAGTTAATAAAAATCAAGAGATCACTGAAAACTCGCAAAGTAGATTTTGTCTTCTGTAAAGAAGATGACTGGGCAGAAAATGTAATCCTTTAATCTTAAGTCTTTAAATGACCCTAAAATGGTGTGTGCTTGGTGTTTTAGTTTCTAATGGGCTCAACTCAGAAAATGTTCTAAGTGAATCAGGAAACTAACAGGCAAATCTGGCACTGATTGAGTGGAAGATGGGAAAGTATACTGTAGCTTCTAACCTTCCAGTGGTTTTGGGGTGTATGCTATCTGGTTACTTTTTGTGTGGTAAACAGACCATCATAACTTGTCATTTGTTCCAATTGAACAAAGAGTTAAAGAGCAAACTGCTCAAAATGTTTGTCTTTTCTTTCAGGTCCAGGACAGACGTCCAGACATGCACGTACTGGAGAGCTCCAGTCATCTGGGACGGCATGTTTAACCCGGAATACTACGATGTGTTTTACAGAAAGCAAAACACCTCTGTTGCATTGACCGTATTTGCTGTTGGCAAGTATGTAGTTTTTTTTTTCCAACGATGTAACTGTTTGTTGGCCAGCTAGTCTTCCTCTGCTCTGATGAGATGTCTTTTTTGACATTTTGAGCAATAAGTGAAAAATAGTCAGGTTAGACTTAAAGTGAAATGCATGATTTAATATTGTAGATAATTTATAGGCAATCTTCCTGTTTAAAGCCCTAATGTAAAATAAGACTCCTCTTATAAATCTGGGAAAACAGCAAGTAACCCACTGCTCCATAGCTTGCTGTGACTGGCTACTTGAATTTTCTTACTGCATTTTTAAAAAGAAAATCGAAGAAGCTCCTATTTTTATGAGGTCAAGATATCTTGGCCTTGTGAGGCTGCTTCATGATGTTGAGCTTTGTCATGAATTCTACATGTAAGGTCATGCTTTTATCTGGATGTGATGCACAATATTAATCAATGAAATCTGTTTGTTTTACAACATGTTTTACAAAAGTAAGGCAGTGAGCACAACTTGTCTTAGAGTCATAAAGCATTATGCAACACAGAAGGGCTACAAATCTGAGGTGACCATGTGGCCCCTCATGCTTCTTCTGTGTAAATGCATTCTTCTGTCTGGAATGCTCCTTAACTGCATTTCCCTTGTATACATTGGGCTACAATGCGGTGGGAAACTGCCCCATTGTTTGCTGGCTACTCTGAATCGATAGAGAAGAGTAGCCATCAAGATCCTTGGAGCTTGAAAGGAGAAATGAAAGAGGAGGGAATGGAGTTATGTTACCCCTGTATCTTCTCGTATGCAGAGGTGGAGATAGAGCATCCCACTCCTTACTGGTCTGTTGGCGCTGTTGGTATAGGGTTTCAGGAGTAACCTAAGACTTATTCACATATGTTGTTGGGAAGCCTTGTGTATCTTAGAGCCGTAACAGCTGGTATACGTACAAATGGGACGAGTTCAACAGTACACAGTTCAGGGCAGTAACCTCACGAGTCCACGATGGTAGATGCATGCAAACCATTATGGACTCAAACCGCAATTGCACTGAGCCAATTTAGCGCTCTCAAGTGTGAGCTGTAGCTATGAATGGGAACATATCATGCTCTCACTTTTATGTTTAAGAGATTAATACTAGATACTGCACAGTACTCACGATGCAGTTCATTGACTAGGATAACTGGCTTTATGAGTGACTTGTACTTCTTTTGCTTCTGAGGGGATATTGGTAGAGAAGATGGAGAGTTTCACAACGCCTTTGTTTTATTTTTAGGTACCTGGACACCTACCTCAAGGACTTCCTCACCTCTGCAGAGCGTTACTTCATGGTGGGTTTGCGAGTGACCTACTACATCTTCACGGACGATCCCACGAAGGTCCCGCAGGTCGCGCTGGCCCCAGGGCGGGAAGTCGTCACCCTGCAGGTGGAGCGGCACAGGCGCTGGCAGGACATCTCCATGATGCGGATGAAGTCCATTGCCGACACCATCGAGTCGCAGGTGCGCCACCGGGCCCAGTACGTCTTCTGCCTGGACGTGGACCAGGTCTTCGTGGGTCGGTTCGGCACGGAGGCCCTGGGGGATTCTGTGGCGCTGATGCACGCCTTCTTCTACCGCACCCCGAAGTTCAGGTACACCTACGACCAGAACCCCAAGTCGGAGGCCTTCATGGAGAAGGGCGACATCTACTACCACGCTGCTGTCTTCGGGGGCACATGGCAGAATGTGAAGCGCCTGACCGAGAGCTGCTACAAGGGTATCATGAAGGACAAGGAGAACCAGGTGGAGGCGCTCTGGCATGACGAGAGCCACTTAAACAAGTACTTCTGGATCCATAAGCCAACAAAAGTTCTCTCCCCTGAGTACTGCTGGGCGCCAGAAATCGGCTATCGCATGGATTTGCATTTTCCCAGGCTTGTCTGGGCTGAGAAGCATTACAGAGCACTCAGGCAGTAGATGGAAAGTTCATTGACTGGGATCATTCTCTATGCACACAGACTTACTCCCTTTCTATTATTTAAATATTTCTTGAATGTATTCTTATCACGAGTTTCAAAAAATGGTGGTTATTCTTCTTTCTCAATGGGCCTGTTCTACGTTGCAGACCTGTGAGACAGCACTGATTTTGCTTTTGTGTTTTGTGTTCCCTTTGCAAAACTTGTCAGCGTTAGTACTCAGGAGCCTTGTGGCATCGGTGTCCCCAAGTGCCTCGTTATCTCACTTGCCTTTAAAGATCTTCATTAAGTATCTGCGACTCAGGGAGAAAATGCTGCCTTGTTTCCATGGCGCTGTGTAATGTGTAAAATTCAGCTATCCTTAAACCCGCCATTCTCCGTCTTCCACTATCTGGTATTTGTGCTAAGACTTGTACAAGGTTTATTAACAATCCTTTATGATCAATCAATTAGAAATATCTTTGAATCCTTCTTAACTTCTGCCAGTTTTGTTTTGAAGTCACATGCTTACAACCAATATTTGGTCTATATGGTCCTTTGTGCAACTCTGGATATTTCAACTGATGCTTGACAAGGGTGAGCCAAAACAGATCTCCTGGCATTTACAGTACTCTTCAAGTGGTGCCAGCCAAACAGGTGCAAGAGAAGCTCTTTGAAGATGTTAAATGAAATTGTTAACTGTTTCCTGAAGTCCCTGTGAATAGTGGTAAGAACATAGTGCTCAGCAATGCTCTCGAAGATACAGAAGGTAGTGTTCTTGACCTATGTATGACTTTCAGTGGATCCTGTTTCTGCCCATAATAGACAAATTGTGGATCATAGCGTCCATCATAAGTATGTCCTTCAGGAATTCAGTTTAACTTTGAAATTGATGCCAGTATCAGCAAGATTATGAGGCCTGGTCTGGAAATTATGCATGAATAACGATTGAAAACATTGCTTGAGACCGAATGTATCACATTAATTTTAGATATATGTCAAAGGCTAGTTGATATATTCTTGCAATACCTGTATTTTTTTTACCAGTGTTAAGATTTATTCGTTAAGTTATAGAAGTGTTCTGCAAAGCATAAGTAATTACAAACTCAATTGTGTGCACCATGTTGTTCACCAGTTAATTATATTTCTTAAACTGTAGTTATTTTGATTCTATATTACTTAGTAGATCAGTATTTAAGTAGGATTTTACTGAAGACATTCAGTGCTTTAAAAATATGAGAATGGCATATATCCGCTGAAGAGAGAAGGCAAGAAACTGCATTTTATTAGGCTTTTAAACATACTGTAGCTCTAGTAATCTCTATCTTGGAAGATTTTTCTTTTTGTTTCTTCCAAGCTTTCAGGCTGCCTCTAGTTGAGCTTTGTGTAGCCAGATGTAATGTTCCAGGTGAAATGTTAAGAACATGCCAGATTAAGATTTGTTGCAAGTTTATATGCTGATATTTATATTCACACTGGTCATCACATGCTGATTTGTGAAAGACCGACCCAGTTCCATAAATGTCAAGCCAAATAGTTCTGAAGCTGGTAGACCCAAAATATAGTGAAATGAGGTCCCCATATAAGTCATAATGGTCACCCGACTGCAGTATCATTCTCATATTTAAACTAGACTCTTTTCAAAAACAGCTTAAGGATTTAACTCCAAATTGAACACATCTTCTCTGTCACAATTCTTGCATTCACATTTCTGGAATATGATACATATCATCACGGGCAGCTACTGATTGACACCTGAAAAGAAATTTGCAGCTTCGACAGCCAAGATGGTGACCTGAGCCTCATTTCCAAAAAGTCTTTTTCGGAAATGGTCAAGTATTTGATTTGAACCTTGGCAGATATCTGCAACATCCTCACCTGCTTCACATTTCAATTTGGCTGCAGTTTAAGAGGCTTCTGTTCAAAACGTGTTTAGATAGTGTAAGATGACCAGGGGAAGGGTCATCCAGGACGGGTATTTCAGGAACGATCTGCTCAATAAACTCGACTTAGACCTGAGCAAGATGGCCGCCAAGAGAAACCAGCTGACCCGCAGATGGAAAGGGCTCAGTCTGAAAAACAACGAGACACAGGTGTGTCTCATCAGGAAAATATATATACCCTGAACAGTGACCTGGCGTGGAAGCCAGTAGGTGAATGCGTTTTGGAGGAGATAGTAGAATCAGGTTGGTGTTGGTAAGGATTTAAGAATAACGGATTAACGGAAGACATAAAGGATTACGGTTTACGGTTTGTGATTTGGATACGACACGGATTTGTGGAACTTTACAGACTTTGAAACTCAGACTGAATAAAGATTGAGCGAACGGATTGCGGACTGGCTTGGAAGATGTACGGACTGGAGAAACAGAGGAAACTCCACAGAAATTAAAGAAGAGAAGCGTGGTGTGAGTACTTTTGTCTCGGTTACATAAACCTTTCCCCCGGAGACACCACAATAGTCAAACCAGTTTAGGTATTTATCATTCTGGCACCTGGGATAAATTCAGTTATACTCGTTTAAAATGGTATTCCCGTGCAAACTGGGGTTTAACCAATTTCTTGTACAGAAATGTCAAAATTCCTTTGTTGTAAAAAAGGTTTGTAAGTTTGTGGTAGCAAACTCCAGATTTTTCAGATATCACTCATGGGGCCAATACAGCTCATGTTGTCTAAAACGTGTTACTCTCGGAGGATAGAAATGGAAGCTACAGGTTAGCTACCAAAACCAAATGGTCCCTTCTCATTCTGTAGCCTTTCTTACATATTAATGGTCTTGCATAACAAATGGCTGGTTCTTTACAATCTTCCTTCCATTTAATTTCACATCACTTTACTACAGTGTGGTACAACTGAAATTGTCATTGGTTTTCATTTGAGAAAAGTGAATCCTTCATTTGTCTGTTCTGCTAACAGTAACCAAATAACATTAAATAATAATAAACACTACAAGGCTTTACCATAGTATTTCTTAACAATGGAATGCATGGTTCCTGCAGGCTCATAGGTTAAAAGTTGAAACTTGGCACCAGATTTAAGGAACTATCAAATGCTCTTAGCTGAGAGAAGGTTTGAACACACTGATAGGGCCTGGATGCTTTGCTTTCAGCCCAGGGATGGACTGTTGGATAAGACGATTTCTTTTCATTTCCTTTCATCTTATGCAATGTGATTGTGTAAATTGCACTTCTTGTGCCTGCTTCCTTTAGACTTCACGGATGTTTGAGTTTGTGGCTTTTGGTTAAATCTGTTTTCCGCTCAGCGTTTGAAATATCGCTATGCGTATCGTGATAGGAAGAAGTTTCCACTGAACTATAATCTGATCTCTCTGGCACAGCCTCAGGATCTGCTTTGGTTCCTTCCGCCTTGCTAACCAGGAGAGCAGCATTGCATCACATGTACTGTATAACCGAGATGAATCTTTAACTTTAGCACAATGCATTAAATGTCAAAGGTCTTTTTAAGGGCTAGTTAGTCTTTCAAAGTACAAAGTAAAATCCAGCAGAACTACATACTGTAGATTACAAGTTATAATTTCTTCACTGGGACTAGGGCTGGGCGATATGGCCAAAAACATTATCACGATAAAAATGTTCATATCAGTTGATATCGATAATTATCACAATAAATGTAAAATCATTATTTCTTTCAAGTTTAAAGGCAGATTTTTTCTCCTGAGTAAAAGTTGAAGAAACCAGACAGTTATTGGTAAATTAAACAACTCTTTAAGAACACAACAAACATTTGCCAAACAGCAGAAACATTAAACATATCTGAGGTAGGGAGTATTCAAGTCTTTTTTTATGTCAAAATATGCAGGAGTAAAATTTACCAAGTAAAAATCTTAATAGAAAAATTTAAGTGCTGCAGTGTGATAAAACACACATAGAAGATGGCTCAGACAGGCTGCAAAGTTTAAAGTGCTTTAAAGGATCATATCAGAAGTAGTGGCGAAGAATGGCACCTTTTGCAGCTGCCCATCTACCATCTCCCTACACTCTGCATACAGCCGAGGAAGTGCAGTCAGTGCAAAATGTTTCCGACCAGGTAGCTTGTATCTGGGGTCAAGGACTCTGATAAGCTTCTTGAATACCTCATTTTCGACAGTGCTAATGGGAAGCATGTCTTTTGCAATGCAATATGCAACTACATTTGTGATGTCTTCATGTCTTTTCGTTTTTTTGTCGTAAGGCACGGTGCTCGAAAATGATGCTACTATGGTTTGCTGCTGTTTAGCCGCACTGAATACTGGCCTGGTGCTTATAGATGGTCCCCTTCCACTAACAACAGTAGTTTGTGGCTGTAATGTTTACTTTCTGCGTGTTCTAACGGGTGATGTTGTTTTAAATGGTGAAATAGGTTCTTGGTGTTGCCTGTCTTTGCTGGCACGGATCTGCGGCAAAGTTTGCAGTGCACGCTGCTCTGTTTTATGTCTGATCGTTAAAAGCCAAAAGATCTCCAAATTCGAGACGAGCTTCGAGCTCCAAATTCGAGCTGGTCGTTGGCAGCACTACATTTGCTTCAGTGTCGCTCATTCCTCCGCTCTAACTACAATCCTGTCAGCCACCACCATGTGTGTGCAAGTTGTACGTTTTTTGTTGTGCTACAATACTTTTGACTTAATGTACATGTATTTATATATCCTCCTTTCTGATTTGTCTGTTTCTCTATGAAGTTGCAGAGTGTCACAATGCAAATTTGATCAACATGCATTACTGATTTTCAAAAAGATTTTAAAATGACTCGGTCATTTAAAATTGTTGCGGAATATCAAAAGTATTGACTACCATGTACACACCGTATCACTAGTTAATTGTTGGTCTACCTCAGGTTGCTATCAATTGTTGAAATGCCAGATTGAATTGAATTAGGTGGCCAAACTTCAATATGACGGAAAGGATCTGATTTTATGTCAAACTTGCTCTGCTGAATTTGTAGGGAAGCTGACATTTTCAGAGACCTGTGTCATAGGTATACGTAAAGCAAAACCTATAAGAGTAGAAAGTTTGCCAGAACAATCAGATTGCGGCAGAGAAGAGGAAGCCAGTGTGTCCTAATCTCCAGGAGTTTAGCAGGAGCTGTGAACTACTGAGCTGACCTCAGAAAAGAAGTGATTTTATAGCCCAGGGGTCCCCAGCCCTGGTCCTAGAGGGTTGAACTCTCTGAAGGTTTTGTTTTTCTTTAAAGCAGCAGCAGCAGCTGAACAGCTGAGCGAAGTTGTTAAATTGGGCTCATGAGGCCAATAGCGAGCTGAGCTGGAATGAAACTGCCATTGCAGCAGTCAGGTTAGAGCAAAGTGGCTAAGCAGGCTAGGACAACAGGTCTACTGAAGAGAGACGGGCCCTTGGACACCCTGGACGGGGTGCCAGGCCATCGCAGGGCAAGTGCAAGACAATCATACATGGGGACGATTTGGAGGCCACAATAAAGGCCGAGGGGGGAAATTTAGCATGGACACCATGGACACAGTATAGTGTCCCCATCACTACACCGGGGCATTAGGACCCACACAGACCACAGGGTGAGCGCCCCCTGCTGGTCCCACTAACACCACTTCCAGCAGCAACCATAGCTTCCCAGGAGGTCTCCTGTCCAGGTCCTGACCAGGCTCAACCCTGCTGAGCTTCAGTGGGCTGCCAGTTGAGAGCTGCAGGGTGATATGGCTGCTAGCTCGGGCCAAATGTCCTTTGTCAATTTTTTTTACTTATTTTCTTCTTCTGTCATCCAAATTTATGCACCTCCCAGATCTAACGTAAGTATATGAAATGCCTTTGTCCCTTTTAATTATTACTGCTGCTTTTACCACCCTTACTAAACCACATCTCCTGACTCCGGAAGTTCAATGCTTGTCTGGCATTGTCTGTATCACTAAAGGCATCTGCAGTGATGTCTGTGCATCTTTATACGTTTATACTACATCTTTATCTTTTATATGCAAAGTTTAAAGCAGAGGGTTTAAAGATTCTGGTTCAGATTTTGTGTTAAGTGCATGCTATACAGAATGTTAAAGGAAAGCAGACATATCAGTTGTTGCAGTTTGGTGTTACTCTTTTTATCGGCCAGCAACATCACTTGAAGAACATGTAGTTGAACTTGCTGTGCGCCCATGGCGGTATTTGCTAATTTCTGAGATTTGGTGAAGCTTGGTTATTGTGCATTCTTTCTCAAGACTGTTAACACTCTATGCTGAGTCAGGATTAAGCCACAACAGTGTTCATGTATGTGTACAGTATGTCTGTGTTATTAATACTTCAGTTATGTTATTTTTGCTCATTGTAAACTGGTGGTAAAAAAGCATACCCCCAACCCCCCAATTTTGTGCAGGTCTCCCCAAAAAGTTGAGCCCACACCACAAGCAGCAGGAGGAGGTTGGAAGGGCGGTGGAGGACATTTAGTAGCAGATAGTGTAGTGAATAATGGCCAATGGGCTTGGTCACTCCTGGGAGGAACAGTCAGGAAAATCAGGTTGCTTCTGTAAAAGCGTAGACCAGTTTGTAGATCAGTAGGTGGTGCTTGTCTCCCCACACCAGAATGTTCAAATCGGTGCCCTTTTATGGTGACAAGGAACACAGTTTTCCAGGAGGTTCCATCCTTCAGATGAGATGTTGTACAAAGGTCATGAATACTGCATTACTGGTGTCATGGCATTGTTTTTCAGTGATAGATGAAGTGGACCCACTTGTGTGTATATCAGAAATCCTTCTGGGTCTATTGGGGTGAAAAGTGCTAAATGTATACAATTGTTAGTTAAAATTAGAGGTGACTCCAGAGAGTGGTAGTTACACTTTGAGATGACCTTAAGTGATTTCCAACTGCCAAAGTTCATTTAGCTGTGCAGTGGGGTGACCACTATCACTGAAGGGGCTGCTCACATTTTTACCACCAGTGAATCGCTGTAATGCCTTGCTACTGAGACAGTCGCTTGAAATAGTATGTGTGAGATACAGCATTTAAAATTAAAAGGCAAAAATTTCAGTTTGAATTTCATTTTTATCTGTGCACGTTTATGTGTTCCATTATGCATTTACATCACAATGAGACGCCAGTACATTGAGTTAATGAATCCATTGATCCATCGTAAGTGGGAGGTAAGGTGTGGCAAAAGAGATGAAAGACCAGCCTTTTAAAGTGCCTCTGCGGGCAAACAATTACAAGTGCAGGGGTTCACAGTTCTTGTAAAGTTCCACACACCTGCTCGTTTTTACTCCAGCTGAGCTTAATTTAAGCTATAATTGGACTTGACAGGATGCTTGATTGGAATATTTGCCAAGGTAGGTGTTCTGCTTTAACATCAGGGATTTTGTTTTACTTCTGAAATGCTATAGTTCAAAGGGCACCTCTACATAAAGCTCGGCTGGAGCGAACTCGGCGGTGTGGGTCGTCAGGATCAGGGCCAGAATCTCCCGGCTCACCTGCCAGTTCCCCACCTGTGTTGTGTTCACATGTTGCCCGGCTGGCTGGCACAACATTCATCAGATGTTGACCGACTTGAACTACAGGTGCCTGATGATCACCGTCGAGATGTTAAAAGTTTTTAAATAAAAAGGGGGGAAAAAAATGTGTGTTTCATTGTGGTTGTTGGCAGAAACGTCAGGGGAGCTGCAGGGTTTCATTCCACCCTTGAAATCTGAATACCTAATCGATCTAAGTGTTGCCTTCTGTGACCCAGTTTAACAGCTTCCCCAGTTTAGTCGATGCTGGAATGTGAAGAAACCTGTAATACCTGCTGCCTTGTGACCTTACAAGACTGGAATTGTGATCCTGTGAGATGAATGTATTCTGCAGCAGAGTCCCGAGTTTTCTAAACTTCTCAACTACACAGGGTCAAGTTGTGCAGCAAAAATTACCAGTGATAATAACTACAAGTTGCACAACTTTGGGCTCCTGGGGTTCAAATCCAACCTTGTGTGTCAGTTTAGGTGGGACTTTTTCCTCCTCAGATATTCCAGTCTCCTCCACCCCTCCTTCATAGATGCAGAATAAATTTGCTTCCATGAACTGCCCCTCCTAGCATTCAGTGTTTATTCTTTAGTCCAGGCTCCAATTAGGAACTGATCACGAACCAGGAACACGCCAATATAACTATTTTAAGTCTGTGTGGAGGTACAGTACCGTATTACTAGTGTGCTGAAGTTATATTAATAAATGTGGGGGAACTGCTATTTACACACTTATACACTGGAAAATGCACTTTTCACTGGTTTAAGTTGATAACGTCATCTATTTTTAATACCCTGCTTATAAAAGATATCCATTACAAGAATATTCAAGATAGTTTTTTTTGCATTCATCTACTATCAACTAAACAGCCAAAATGCGTTGATTTAAGCCAAACAGCACATATATTTATATAGCAACCTAGTTAGTGTCTGAAATACGTGATCATTAAAGTAACTAGCTAGAGGCAATGAAGAACGTTATCACTACAGCATTCCCATTCTGATTTGTTCAGGATTTTGAAATACTGGCAAAGATGAATGCTTCCTTCATCATTTGTGGGAAATACGGGGTGTGTGCATGAAATTTCATCACGGACTGTTTCACAACATGCTGACTAAATAGTGATAAAACTGAAGGCTTTCTGGGAAGAACTGCATATTGACATCCGCAATCAGCTTGAAATTCACAGAAGAACAGCTTCTAACCTGAAAAAGAGGTGAACATTTTGTGAAGGTTACAGGCAAGTACAAACCCAACTTGATAATGCTATAATCTTTTAAGCTTCTGTATTTCAGTCTCAAGGACAAGGGAAATGTATTCTATATTGATGCTTTTTTAAGATTTCATTGCAACTGGGCTGACAAAAGCCATTCAGGGCCATTTTGGTCTTCTGATTAGGCTGTTCTCTCCTAATGACTTTCACAGGTCTGTTCTTAATTTGACTTTGAGGTTAGTAAAGTATGTGGAAAATGAAAATGGATTTTTACTGTGTGAGTGGAAATGTGGAAGAAATCATTTTAAGAACAGTTGTTTACTTTCGAGGTGAGACAACTGCTGTAATTAAGACCGTTTTGCTTGTAAAAATGCCTATGGCTCAAAAAGTTTGTTTTTCAAAACTTTTTGGAATTGTTTGCAGCCTCTGACACTGAAATGGTGGATGGATAAACGCCTTCATCCAAGTTCTCGATCATTTGCTTGAACCATATCTTGTAAAACTCTTTTGATATTTCAATCGGCCAATAATGTGCCAATCATGTACTGTAGGCTTCCAGTGGAGTTTGAGCAGGTTCATTCCCTCACTTACTTGAGGTAATACACTGTTTCTAGCTTTCTTTTCTTTTTTAATAATTACGATTGCAATGGTGATTTAAACGAAGGGATAGTAACAATGGCGGCTGTATTTAATTGGCTCAGCCATCATTAGCACAAAAAGACATATTTCTCCAGGTGCACTTAATTTGCTTTCGTTCCACTTTGAGAAATGTGAGATGTGGTTAAATCTTACCTTCCCACCCTTAGGTAGCGGAGTGATGTGGCCGCTAACCTGTCTCTTCCTCCTGCTCCTCCTTGGTGGCCTGGCCCTGTCCTGTCCCAGGGAGTGCCTCTGCCACACCTCAGATGGCATCCTGACGGTGGACTGCGCCGGGAGGGCACTGCATGGCCTCCCCCAGGACATCCCAGGAGATGTGGGCGTCCTAATCCTCAAGAACAACTCCCTGGATCGCCTGCCTGCTTCTGCCTTCCACAACTTCACCCAGCTGCAGGCTCTCCATCTCCAGAGTAACAGGCTTGAGAGCTTGCCTGAAGACCTCTTCCTTCCCCTCCCTCAGCTCACCCACCTCTATCTCTACGGCAACCAGCTGACGCGGCTCCCGGATCGCATTTTCGCCCCTCTGCAGAATCTCGAGCGCCTTCATTTGAACGGCAACCACCTCTCTCGATTTTCAGACGCCCTGTTCTCTTCTCTGCCTCGCCTCAAGACCTTGGTCTTGGCGAGAAACAGGCTGGAGAGCCTCTCTCCTGGCTCTTTCCGGAACCTGCAGTCCCTCACGGTCCTGTCTCTCTCCTCCAACGGCCTGGCCTCCCTGCACCCCGGCCTCTTCAGCGGCCTGCAGGCGCTCCGCGTGTGCGCGCTGTACGACAACAAGCTGAGCGCGGTCCCCGCCGCCGTGTTCCGGGGCCTCCGCAGCCTGTCCTGGCTCTCGCTGGCCAGGAATGCTGTCCGCCAGCTGCCGGCCAGTCTTTTCCAGCAAACGGGCCTCCAGCACCTGTACGCGTACGACAACCAGCTGCAGACCATTGAAGCCAAGATGTTGGAACCCCTCGTTCATCTGAAAACACTCGACCTACGGCAGAACAGCCTGGAGCAGCTCCCGGAAGGGCTGTTCGACAATGCGTCGAATCTGACGACTGTGCGACTTCAGGGAAACCCATGGCAGTGTGACTGCAAAGTCAGGTATCTTCGGCAATGGCTGATTAGCAACAGGCAGCTGGCAGACCAGCCTCTCTGCATGAGCCCTCCTGCCGTCAGGAACCTGCCTGTGACGGACATTTCAGAGGCTCACGTATCGCGCTGCTGAGGTTAACTTGAACATGCCATGATGTTTAGATTTTGCCAACAGCTAGAATGATTTGAGTCTCATTCCTGTGTATTGTACTGCTTTAGATGCTTCAGCCTAGGTTTTTTTTGTTGTACCTTGTTTTAGCCTCTGTATCATGTAATACACACGTTTCTACATTAACAGAAGTTTAGAAATAAGTTTATCCATTGTGAATGTTTGCACTACTAATATTTTACAGATTGGTGACCATTAACATGCTGTATAAACTTACGATTAGGATTAGCATGCAAGTGTTTTCTTTTTAATGCCAAATGTAGTATGTGTCCAAAAAGCTCAATTTTTATTTTTATTTTTTTCTGACCACATCATATGGTACCAGTGGTCATTCAATTGCGGTTTGCCTCTTTGTGCTTCTTCCTGAATGCCACACCCATGGAGGGGACACCGAACGCTAGTTTTGACACTTTTTGTATCTTGATAATGTGGATTTGTGCGGGAGATCTCTCCTTTTGGCTTTGCCTCCTGAAACATCTTTTCTGCAGAGTCTGGAGAGGCAAGATCCACTTGTGTCCTTTTTCTGGCAAGACTGCCACTATTCCAGTAGTAGTGGACACTCCAATGCACAGTAACAGATTCAGTTTTTGTTGCATTCATAGCCATCCCTCAGCTAGTGAAGGTCAATGGTCAATTCCCTGTCATTTTCCAAAGGCCCTGCTGACCTTAACCGTGATGCTGCTTCTATTGCATATCTGCGCTTTACTGCTGCACCGTGTACTAAAGGTCTTGTGACCTCTACCGTGTCCCAGAGTTTGTGTGATCTCTGGCACGACACAACCTCGGGTGTGTCCATAATTTTTCCTTTTACACCCCAAGTTAACAGGCCCCCCTTCAAAGCTGAAGACGTCCACTGCACTTGCAAAGAGCTGAAGGTATAATCTCATTTGAAGGACTGCTTCTGCTAAGGTGATTTGCTGTGAATGAAGGTGGCCCTCAGTGCAACTGGAATTCAAACAATTATGAATGAATGACAAATATGTAATTGCTCTGTGCCATAGCATGAACACAGTACAACAGTTATACATTTTTACAAGCATGACTATTCCATAATTCATTAAGTTGTATGTTTTTTTTGTTCATATTTCACTGGAGATAAGAATAAATATGGAGCATCCTGTGTTTCTTCATATGCTGAGGACACACTGGGGGACTATTTCCTGGAGGTGTGATAATGTTGCCATGAAAAAGAAAAAAGGTTTCGAGATTCAAAGTCACCCAACTATCACTCTGGATCCCATGGAATTAATTTGACAGTTTTTTTTTTTTAATTTGTTTTATATTTATGAAGAGTCCAACCCTGCACTTTCTCACACTGACCAAACACATAAACAGAGACTATATATTTATGAAAATACAAAGTACCTTTATTATTTGCTTAAGACACTTTTAAAATAGCATGATGTCCCAAAATTAGGAAATCTACTCACAAAAAAACAATGTACAAAAAGCAGATAGTTTACTTGAGTAAGATTAGTCACAGCGTTTCTGTGTCTTGTCTGACAGCAGTGTACCACTAGTTCTCCATATAGCATTGCTTGCCAAGTGTGACAGCATGGGTAAAATGCTGTCAGTTTAACAAGTGAGACCCAATATTTAGCAGCATGTTCATTTTTCTTTATCAACATGTACAGCAGGAAAAGGTATAGAAGAAAAAGCTACAGTCACAGGTCTGTAAAAAAACACTGAACTTGTCAATATTTCTAATTAACTACAAACGCTGCTTTAACGCACAACCAGGCAGGTAGCAGGGAGGACATGGCCCAGAATCCTTGATATGGAATAAGGAATAAAAATATAACTTTTTGTAGAATCGCCGCCTTTCTTAGTTGCTTTACCTCAACAGCTGTTAGAGAGAAAATCTAAGGCTTTTGAAAATATGAAAATATGGAATTGAATAAAAAGGCCGCTGGTAAATTGAATTGCAAAAATAAAATGCATTACAAATAACACAAACATGGTATTGCTAAAGGGCCAATATGATCCAAGTCCTAAAATTAAGTTTCTTAACAGAGCTGGTCTTGGTTAATAGGAATACTGAGCTCTAGAAGCCACTGACAGTGTATCCTATTACAATTCCTAATCCATAACTCAGGCCTTGTTTCTCTCTTTGTCTTTATGTTAGTACACTAAGAGCCATGTTCCAGGCAGTCCTAGCTGCAAGTACTCAGGGAGTATCCTAACAGATGACTGCGTAGTTTCTTCTCACTACTGTAGCTTGCTGGCACGGGCCTTCACCTGCCAATAGATTGGGGATCGAGGTCCAGGCATGGGAGCAATGAAGAGGCCTCGTGCCTTTCACTGCTTTATCTTTGTAAACACACTATCGAGCAGAAAATACTGTCAACTTACATTTTAATGTCATAACAGCACTGGCTTTTGGAAGACTAGAGGGAATGGGCTACATCACTATATGAACAGCATCCCGTTACCAGACCTACTCTCGCCAGAGGAATGCCTTTGCTACTGTATCAGTTCTCTGTGCTGATATGCACTAATGCATACACAGCCTTTCAATTTTTACCCTCAGCAACATGACTAACTGGGTAGGGAATAACTTATTTTTGTTTTTCAAATACAAACAATCAGATTCACAGTGTTGCAAAACTTCCTGAATACTTAACGGTATTTTTTTAAAAATGTATCTTTTACTATATCACTATATTTTGCATGCTTTAATGACAAGATGCAAAGAGCTGTATGAAAGAAAAGTTTCATTTGAAAAAAAAATGCTTTTAAATTCCTGCTGATCTTAAAGGATACCTACACTGAAAAGAGCTCTGATGTGTTGTTTCACTCAATGCTTCTAATTTTTTTTTAACAAATCATGCGATTAGCTATAGTTTAATCTTTTTGTCTGATGTTATGGTTACGTGCGGCAGGATGTAACACGATTCCTCAAAAACCTGTCCTGTGACATCCACAGCCTGGCTCAATTCAAAGCGTTCAGATGTAGAAATAGTGAACAGGCTGAGTGAAAGATTAGCTGAAGTGTCCAAAGCTGTGCAGAAAGATTCAACAAGGTGCACAGCAGCCTGATTCAAGACACAGGCCAGCTGCTTCTGTTAAAAAAACACAAAAAAATGTATGTGATATATTACTTGCAGAACCATCCAAGTGAACCAAAAAAGCTTTAAATTTTCTTAAAATTCCCTTGGATTGAAGCCCTGAATTGTGATAAAGATCAATCATCTGTTGATGCATCCTTTGTGCTGACAGATATGTTACTGTCTTGCCTGAACTCTCTACAGCTGGTCTGTTATATCTTTCTAAAAGCTCTATTTAGCGATGTGTCATAGACTTGCTTGATGGCTTTCACTTGTATTCTGCTAGATGGTGGCGTGAGCAGCAGTCTAATGGAGCTGTGCTGCTTCAAGGTTTGAGTGTGTGGCCACCAGGTAATTTGACACAGCTGCGGTTATGTGGCCATGCTGGTCTCTCAACTGAATTTTTAAATCCTTCCTCTTCTCTGTTCTAATGGCCAACCACAGGAACCTGTTCCTGGGGTGTGTGAGTGAAAAGGGGAAAAAGGCTACTTAACGGCAAAAAAATATTGCTTTAAACATCACCTCAATTTTAAATCCAGGTTTCTTTTTGCTTCATTTTGTTGCCTAAAAAGGGCTGTTGCATTGAAAATAACGAAATAAATATTTTCTTTGTTTTTTTTGTATGATGCAATTCCTGTTAATTACACAGGGATTTGTGATTGTGGTTCGCTTTTATACTATACTTAGGTTTCTGTACATTTTCCCTGAAATATTCAGGATATTTCAGGATAAAAGCCACAAGGTATGTTTAATCTATCTGGAAATAACATTTCTTGGATCAAAGAAATCCAGATGACATAAGATTTAAATTAACATGCTGAAAAGAGAAGAAAGGAAACACATTTCTGGTGCTTTCTTCGGGTCTGTGAAGAAGAAGCTCCACAGCCGAAACGTTGTGTTCTCTTTTCACCACGGAATAAACCCATACTTGCTCCTTTGCAGCCTCCACATGCTGATGCAGCTATCCACTTGAACTAGATCTAAATTATACAAGCTAGACAAATTAACCAATATAAATATAATTTAGTATATATATACACAGTTGTAAATGGATCTTATTCGTGAAGGCTTAGCAATGAAAAAGCTTATCGAGAAACAAAAAGCTCAATAAAAGCTAAATGTAACACATAAGGTCAAGCAATGGTTTGACTTTTGACTGCTAACCATAAATGAGTACATCACAGCAAAATACAAAGAAATGAGTTACATTATTAGTTACATTATTAAGGCCTTCTGTATGTAAAATACTCACAGACCCGCTACATTTTCCCAATTTACTAATTACGTAAGTACATGATTTAGAAAAATAAAGCATATTCTTTTATTATTGCTGTAGTTTCAGTATCCTTGCAACTACAGAGCTGAGAAATAGAGGCGTGTAACAACTCAAACATAACTAACTACCCCCTTTCAGACAGTTTTAGAAAACTAGGCTTGGGTGTTTTTCAAGACTTGTGTGAGAAGTCGCATTAGCCAATCAGCTACATGCAACATTTCCATCCTGCTGAATGTTGGCTGGGCGGCAGGATTGGAAACGGTCCATTGTGTATTTCTGTGTTGCTCTTACAAAGCATAACAGAGTTGATGTTTAGAAATGGTCAGATTTCTCTTAAAATATTTCCTTGCCAAAAGTCTCAGCAGGCGGAAATACAGTACATAACTTAAAAGAAGAGGAGGCTGGTGTACTGTATACTATGGTGATATTATGGTTGTTTTACCAAATTTTGTGTTAAGATGCCTAGAACAGAATGAGAGGGGAGGGCATTTTGAAACACAGGATTTCCTTTAAAGTTTAATGTACGGAATTAGGTTCATTGAATTTACGGAAGATGGTGGAAACAATAAAAAACGGCGTTACGTCTTAAGTCTGAATAAAATACATGTTCTTGTTCCACTTGATATAAGCAGTTAGGGATTCTGCTTCAGTTAGGGATTGAGACTGTGCTGTTGAGACCTATCCATGTATATAAACACTTCTTTCAGTCTCCACAGAATTGGCAACAATGGTCAAATATCACTTGAATTCAGGACCAGGTCTTGCAGACCTCCAGACATCTAAATCTCACATCTGGAAGAGCAGGACCTAATGAATAACAACCACAGAAAACAAGCCTGAATTGACCTTTACACATGTTCCTGACTGTAAGCTGTTTTGTGATTCGAACCCCCAGAGCTCTTAACTCAGAACAAAAAAGATACAGAACAGATAACCGGCAAGTGGAATACATGCATTTCTGACTTAGTGGTGCAAGTAAGATTGTAGCCAGAAATGTCACTCTATCCCTATTTCAATTAGTGGAACCTGAGTGCCTCTGGAGATTTGGCACAGTATTGCAATGTTGAAAAACTATGTTAAAAGTGCACAGCCCTGTTTTCAGTTTCAGAGTCACCAAATGTCAATGAGCTTGATCTAAAACTATAACCCTCACACCAGCACTGAGGGTTTTACCCCTCTCTTCTCCCCTCAAAACCCTGCACTTTCAAGCCCTCTGTCCTCACACACATGAGAACAGCAGATGCTTAATGGAGGCCTGATCTTGCTCTCACTGGAGCATTGCAGGCGCCCCACCCAGCCACAGGGGGTGCTGTTGAATGGCAAGCTATGGGCAGTCTGCATAAGGCTCCAAACCCAACCAATCCCACTGGTTAAATACAGTAAATGGGACCTTGTGACGCCAAGCTTGATCTAGCAATGGCAAGACTATAGCACTCAGCCTGCCTTCCGACCAAGAGTCTCTACTGGCTAAGCCACACAGAACACATTACCCTCTCACCTTAAATCTATGAAACCCTGCAGGTTTATAGAGAATAAAGCTCTTTTGAATTAAAAAATAGTATCTCTGTTTTACTAGAAGGTGCGAAATGCAAGACAGGTCCTGTCATCAACTTGTTTCTTACGAAAAATCCAGACAGACATTCCTGCCCGAACAAAGTGCATCAATCACACACATTCCACTGTACATTTCTTAGTACCACAGAGATTGTCAGTGCTGCACATTGGGGTGGAAGTCACTAACTTTGGATCACTTCTTGTATTGCATTTAAAAAATACTGTCATTCTTACAAAAATACATCAATCTACAAATCGTTATAGAGAGGCTATAATACAGAGATCACATTTCCAGTACATGTGCCACAGAGCTATGGCAGAAGACCACAAAATGTTTGCTCACAATTATAAAATAATAAACAAAAATATCACAGTTCCTGGCATATTAAGTATTCTCAGCTAGCAATGTTTATAACACCGCGTAGTTAATCTATTTCCAGTAACCACTCTGAACAACTGAAATTACAGAAACAATGCCCAGCCTTCCGTAGTCTACAAAATCAGCACTTGTTTGACTAGTACCGTACGGTGTAGGCTGATACTAAAGGTTATCGATTTATTACCAGGTGCATCATAAAATGGACTGAACTAGATTGTGCAGCGTCAACTCTGCAAGCCATGGAGATGAGCAGTTGTAAATAGAGGGGATACAGCAGCAAACTGTAGTATTTTAACCAGGAGGTAAAGAGGGATTACATGCTGATTATTTGAAGTTACCGATAAGCAGTCACATAGTAGATGTGCAGTTAGCACAGGTAATTATTTAGCGATATGGTGACACTGATAGTGACAGCGATATTGATGTGAGGATCCTGAGTAAAACTATCTGCATGGTATGAGAATTGCAATAACCAGAGAGAAAAACAGCACCGAATTGCACATGGTACAAACACAGTTGTGTTAATATTTTCTACACCGAAAAGGGGTGCATGATGTTGGGTTATCTGTATAGTTATTTAAATGTGCTGGTTATCAACTCTCCTGCAGAGCACTACAGAGCAGTGTTTATATCAATATATGTATTTTGATGCCTGTTGCGCATGCCTGTTAAACCCAGGATATTAAGTATCGAGTATTTGCCTTTCACATAAGATGCAGTGTTGACTCTACATAACCCAGCAGTCCCAGTCTAAGGGGGCATCCACAAGAGCCAAGGGCATTGGGAAACAGCATGGGACTGACACACAACTGAGCAGAAGCAAGTGGAATAAACGATATCCCACCCGTCACAACATCTTAAGCACTCGTCTGTACAAAACAGGGTTCATTTTGTATATAATTTAAAAAGAGCTTATAAAAAAGTAGCACTGATGAAGGTGTTGATGTTATATAAGACTTTTTGGTGTCACTGATGCTTTTAAATTACTTATAAACCGGCTGGAAGGAATTAAAGGTAATGAGTCATGGTTGTGATATGTTCATCCGAGTTACTCCCCCTGAAAACAGGGTCAGCTGTCAAACATGGTGGAGCTGCTACACACGTGTCTGACGGGCGGCACCAGGCCGGGCAGTGTGGCGGTCCCTGGCTCGAGCCTCGGTTCCGGGCGGAGGTGTGGGCACCCCGTCTGGCCCTCAGACCTCATCGCTGCCCAGGCTGGGCGTGTCCTCGTGCTCCCGGGCCGCGGTGGGGCCCGCGGTGGACGTGACGTTCAGGTAGCCGATTTCGGAGGGCTGGGAGAGGGAGGCGTTTCCGATCTCGGGGTGCTCGCCGGTTTTCACCCTCCGGATCACATCCAGAATGCCCAGGGGGCTGCACATGCCTGGCGCCAGACTGCGGGAGGCAGGAACAACAAAATCAGAAACAATAGGTAATAAAACATCAGCACCACTCACCCTGAGCGCTGGAACCCCACAAGGCTGCTGTCTGAGTCCAAGGTTGTACTCCCTGTTCACTCACAACTGCACAGCAAGACACAGCAACAACCCCATCAGTTAATTTGCGGATAACGCCACTATAATAGGCCTTGTCAGCGATGATGACGAGTCCACTTACAGGGATGAAGTCATACAGCTGCAGAGGTGGTGTCATAGCAATAACCTGGAGTTGAACGTAAATAAAACAAAAGAGCTAAAAGTGCTAAAAAGGCCATACACTCACAGCCCACTCAGTATCAATGGAACGGAAGTGGAAACAGTCACCAGCTTTGGGTTTTTGGGAATTCACATTTCTAATGATTTAACCTGGACTGTGAATACGGACATTATCTTGAAGAAGGCTCAGGAGCGCCTCTATTTCCTGAGGTGCCTCAAGCGATTGGGGATGCCAGTATCCATGTTGGTGACCTTCTACCGCTGCACCATCTAGAGCGTCCTCACCAACGGGATCACCATGTGGTACGGCAACACCTCTTCTCGAGAGAGAAAGGCACTGCAGAGAACGGTGAACCTGGCCCAGAAGATCATCGGCTGTGGTCTCGCCGAGATTAAACAGCTCTAAGAGGACCACTGCCGTGGTAGAATTCTGGCCATCACAGAGGACAGTCACCACCCCAGGCATGAGCTCTTCACCCCCACTGCGCTCAGGCAAGAGATACAAGAGCATATGGACACTTACCACTAGATTCTTCAATAGCTTCTACCTCCAAGCAGTGCGATTGGTGAACACATTTGGCCATGCCAGACCACACCTACACCATCTACCTCATTAAATGTATTTTATTTATTGCAAATCTGCAGATTGTTTACATTTGAACTGTTTACTTGTACACTGTCTACTGTTTCTTTGTACTGTATATTGTTTTGATGCACTGTCTGCACTTTGTGTTTTTACACTTTTTTTAACAATTGAGAGATCTTTTGTAAGTAAGAATTCCTTTGTACCAGTACATGTGCTGGTTACATATGGCAATAAAGTTCAAGTTTAACTCTTTCATTTGCCCTTTTAATCATCACATCTACAGGAGTTTGTACTACTGCAGACGACACTAACACTTCTCCATAACACTTCAGGCCATAGTTAAATATGGCACCGTTAAAGGTAATATAGCTTCATTTATCACATCAAATTTCTCTCTGCATTTAGCAAACAAGGCTATATAGAGTGTCTTCTCAGAATTACTAATCACCTACACACCAAACTGGTTCCATGGATAGGCTCCCACTTCACCAAATTATCTTTGGGGTAACAAGAATGTATTAATCAGGAAATATTAACTATGAAGTAATGCAAATACTAAAGTTCCGTTGCAAAAGTATCAGGAAAAGTAGCAAGAGGGGAGGTTTGGCACTGAACTTGATCATTTGATTATCTCACAGAAAAACAAAAGAAGTAGTTTACCTTGGGTTTGTGGGCTGCAGAACACTGCCATTAAGGAGAAGACTTTCAGCTGGAAACATTTTCTTGAGCTCCTAATGAAGCATAAAAAATAATTACAATTTATTAGGGAAATTAACAGTTTATAGTAGGATTGGCAACAGATTCTGTCTGGGGGACTTGTCTCTCAGCCATTTACATGTCTCCTGTCTCATCTTAACTGTCTCCAGTGTAAAATAAAATTGTTAAAAGATACAGACACCAGACTGTTTTTGGGAACTACTAAATCATCTACTGGGAGATCATTATTTGTAATGGGAACTTTCTTGGCATTCAGTTAATCCCAAATACATAGATTAAGATATAAAAATATATGTCTTAGTGCTAGATCTACCCTACATAAATAGGATTTTTAATTTCATCTCCTAGTTTAAATTACCAAGGGATTTGTCTTGCAGAAACAATAAGGCAATAAAGGATCAAAGTCCATGCACAATTCTTCTGAAACATGCATTACTGAACCATCTGGAATGTTTCACACTGTCATCAACAGATTTCAAATCAGGCAGAAGGCTGAGGAAGCACTGTAGTTCCACTGGTGTGCTTACAGGCACCTGGTGCTTCACAGAATGTCTGTCACTCTGCAAGCTAGTTGACTCAAACCCATGCAGCTGCCACAACACTTGCAGAATCCTGGCTCATGTTGGGTGATTTCTTGAATGAATTACGTCTCCACTAGTTCCGAGAGCCCTTACTGCTGAGTGGGTGATCGCAACAGAATAAGATAATCACACCACTTACCTCCATGCTGCAGACAGACTGCACATTCCTCAAGGCTCGCTCGAGGGCTCCAACCTGGGTGGAAAGCTGTAAGGTTCTGTCCTGCAGCTGCCTGTTCTCCCCTTCAAGAAAGTTGACTCTGCCAGAAAATAAAGGAAGATATTCCGTCAACACCGGCGGCTTCGCATTAATGTGTTCCAGACCAGGGATGCTGTCTGTATGTTCTCCCCAGGTTTGTAAGGGTTTCCTCCAGGTGCTCTGGTGTCCTCCTACAGTCCAAAGACATTAGCCCTGGTAGGTAACTGGGTAGGTGGCTTATGGGAAAACTGGCCCTGGTGTGAGTGAGGGCGGGTTTGAGTCTGTCCTGTGATGGACAGGTGTCCCGTCCGGGGGTGTAGTTCTCTTTAAAACACCTTTGACTTATTTGGGAAGTGTCTATATCAGACACAGAAATACAATCCAATCTGCCCGATGAGGCAGACTGATAAGAGCCTCCGCCTGGCTGGTCTTCATTAATATGGTTCTTGTTGGAGTTCTGGTATGACGATGAATACGTGACTATCTTTGCACATCAGCATGACATGGAATTGATCAGCCTGCCTAACTCCACTTGCATTCCTACCTGCTGTAATAAGCTTTCGGATTGCTGTGACAGAGGTCCTTTGTTTCCAGCCTACTTGTAAATCCTGTACCTAGGACAGCTGCACCCGGATTAGGGTTTCCTTTGACTCTGAAGTCACTGGCGTCTAAAGCAACTGCTGCAAACCCGACGCTGTTTTGATCCATCTGAGGTTTTACGAGTCCCCTAAGCTCTTACACAAACCAACATTAGATGGCTCTTTCAGTCTCTATGCCTATTTTTGAGCTCAAGCTGCAAAACAATATATCTGATCCCCTGCCATCTGTTTTCTCACACCCCACTTTGGCATCAGTACTGATTAATCTGTTTAATAATCTACCCAGGTCTTTCCATTCATCTTTTATCTACATACAAATCCCTGAACTTTACAATGTGAGAAATGTCCTTGAGAGCTACAGTACGTTTTTTTTTTAATCCAACCTTGCTCTTGATTGATTCACTGAATTAATTATTGCCTTAAAATTAAAAAGAACATTAGTCAATGACTGAGAACACCTATTACACCTAACTGACTTGGTGAGCACCGAAAGGCCACTGATCAGAGGTCACTGATCTTTGATTTGAGGGCATGAATCTGTTTAGTAAATGTTCTGCTCATACTGTATGACTGAAGTTGCTAAATCAACTGATAATTTCACTGCACTTCTGTTGTGCTCTAGACTAATAACACCTTAAAGTGCACTCAACATTGAGAAACCCAACGTGAAAAGAAAATCTCTGATCTTATTCCATCTGTTTTGCCTTTCTTCTGAGATAAAATAAACATGTAATGTTGCTAAAGCGAGGAAGAGAGTGCTGTTCCTCTCCGATCAACGAGGAGCTCTTCTGTGGCTGCAATCGGCACCTGTGCTGGATGGTGGAGGTTGTGCGCATGTTCATGTGGCCGACCTCCTCCTCCTCGCTCAGCTTCTTCAGCAGATGGCGTTTCTCAAGGAGCAGCTTCTCGTTCTCCTCAGTGACCTTCTTGATCCAGTCTTGCTCCTGTGTATAGCGATATACAGTAGCTTCTGTTATACTGGGCGATTCTCGAAAAGAGTAGGGGTGTTACCCTGTGTCCTGGCCAAATTTCCCCCTGGCCTTTACCAATCATGGCCTCCTAATAATCCACATCTCTGACCTGGCTCCATCACTCCTCCCCTGTTCTCCTCCCCACTGAGAGCAGATGTTTGATGAGCGTTCAGGCGCACTATGGCTGCCATTGCATCATCCAGGTGGGGCTGCACACTGGTGGTGGTGGAGGCGATCCCCATTACCTATACAGTGCTTTACGTGCAGTGTTCAGAAAAGTGCTATATAAGTGTAAGCGATTGTTATTATAACAGTGAAACACAAAGCCCTCCCATGTTCGGGTGATTCAAAACGTCACGCCCAGGGAAATGAACAATCTCAGAGTCAGGCAAAGGTTGGCTTGAAAATCAAGAGGTGTTCTGATATGTAGATATGCTATATCACTTTCCCCGTCCAAAACAATCCTCCTATCCCAGCTTTATCGAGATCCTGCAGAAAAACTGGGGTGAGACTGAACAGCAGTTAGTTCAAAACCTTATGATCACATCATATTTAACAGTTACAGCAAGCTTAGCACTAGGGGGAGAACCAGGCTGTACTACACTGGGGAATAGTCTTTTAGTATGGTAGGGCTCTGCAGATCCACAACGCTTACCCTTTAGTAAAATATCTAGGAGATGCAGGTAGTGGGGTAGGCAGGGAATAGCTCTCAGGATGTCTAACATCCTTTTCAAAGCCTACCTGAGATCAGATTTTGGTGATTTCTGCATAGCTTCCAGTGGCAAAACAAACGAGTTAATCAGCATTAAAAACAAACAAACATAATACCTGAAGTTTGGGCATTTCTTCCTTGGTACACATAGCTTTAACGCTCAGAATATGGGAGGCAAAGCTGCTCCACTTTAGGATCAGCATTTTAGAATCAGTCGTCTCTCTGATTACCAGACTAAAATGTTTCAGGAGGCATTAAATGCTGCTCGTTTTCCAGCAGATTCACTCCACCTTCTCGGCCAGGCTGTGGGCCAGAGCCAGGTCGTTCTCCAGCTGCTGAATCCTGCCGTCTCTCTCCGAGGTCTCCTTCACGAAGACCTGCTTGGCCTTACGCAGCTTGGCCTTGTGCTGCGCCTGCTTCTCATCGTACTTCCTGGAAGGAGCAAGAGGATCAAAAGGATGTACAAAACGCTTATTCCAAGCTCTGAAGAAGCTTGGTTAGCTGCATTGAATGCAAGTAATTAGTCTGGGACTTGTTTGCCTTTGCTACGTGCATGAAGTTGGCATGTATCATACCTGAAGAAGGCTCCACGGCCGAAACGTTGTGTTTTCCTTCTTTTTTTTCAGCATGGAATAAACCTATTACTTGTTCCTATGTATTACACATGTTCACGTGGGTTTACTCAAAGTACTTTGGCTTGTCTCCAACAGTACCAAGACATGTTGATAGGTCAACAGGCTTCTGGGAAAACTGGCCCTAGTGTGAGTGTGTGTGTTTGTGTCTGTGTGTGCCTTGTGATGGGCGGGCATCCTGTCCAGGGTGTACCCCGCCTTGCTCCCATTGCTTGCTGGGATAGGCTGTATCGAACCTGTAATGGAACAAGCAGAGGTATGTTTTAATCTGTCTTTCAGCTTTTCAGCATGGGATTAACCTCTACATTTTCTCCATTAAGAATATGATGCTCACTTCTGGTCACCTAAGTTTTGGCTTTATCCTGAAATGGATAAAGCACTTAGAAAACATATGGATGCCCTTCTTATGTGAAGAACCTTAAGATTGTGTTAAGTGTGGTTGCTTGATGTGTCTCTGTCTAATTTGACGATTTCATTTCGTTGCCTGACAGAGGCCCTCCCACACACTCTGAGTGGAGCCACGCACCTGACTTGCAAATCCAGCTGCTGCAAGACCTGCTGAAGTTCTTCCTGTAGCCTCTCCGACTCCTGTTGGCATGACAACAGCTGCTCTGCGAGGTTCTGATTGGCCTTCTGAGTATGCCGGTGCTAGGGAACAGTGCAGATTAAGTGCCAAATCTGGAAGCAGGGGCTACAGATATGTTTAGCAACAGTGAATATATAACAGGAGACTGGCCGAGGCTACAAAACGACTCTTTAAAACAGGAGTTTTCTTGATTGCAGCCCCGGATTGGTCGAACTGTGCTGCCTTCAGTTGATTAACCTTTCTGACAGATGGCGTGGAGAAATGAGATTCAGATTGGAAATAAATCTGTTGTTGCAGTTGGTGATGCCACAGTTAACCCTCGGGCCTCTGCATGCCTGTCAGGATAAAAGCACCTCTGGCATCGCCAGCTAAAACCCTCCTTAGATTTCAACGGTTCAAGGCTGAGCCGCTTCCCCTCAGACACCTGGCCTCGTGCACTGATCTCCCCAGTGAGGGGACAGGCGGGGGGCGGCGGCGGCGCCTCTCACCTCCTCCTCCGCCGCGCTGTGCTCTGCCTGCTGGACGCCCAGCCGGGCCTCCTGCTGCTGAAGCCGCAGCCCCAGCTCGGAGGTGGCGCGGGTCAGGGACGCCTCCCTCTCCCGGAGAGACCGCGCCTGCTGCTGCAGCTCCTCCTCCCTCTGCTCCAGCCGCTTCCTGGGGGGGCACAAGTACGATCGCACTGTGTGTAAATATTGTGCAGATGTCGGGCCACCACATGACCAAATTACAGCTCTGCTTCTGAATCAGTAAAGAGGAGGACAACCAAATACCATCCAGGGGTAAAGGGAAAGGCCTATGCTTACAGGCAAAAATAACCAAACCTTTTCAGTCTCTAAAAGAGAAGACTGTAAGATCACTTTATTGGCCATATACAATTTCTTGTATTAGGAATTTGTCTTTTCACATACCCTAACTTGCTCCATGAGACACACAGAGAAGCTTGGGGTCAGAGCGCAGGGTCAGCCATTTATACGGCACCCCTGGAGCAGCTGGGGTTTAGGGCCTTGCTCAGGGGCCCAACGGAGTAGGATTCCTCTGCTGGCTGCAGGATTTGAACCGGCAACCTTCCAGCCACAGGCGCCGATCCTGAGCCAAAGAGCCACCGCACCGCACCGCCCTGTGAAGGGGCCCCGATACCCTCATTCAAAATTATTCAGGTATTCAGACATTCAATGTCATCCCAGTGGACTTTTTCAGAATTAGGAGTTAAATGTTAGTTAAAAAACACAAGCAGAAACTGTGTGGAAGTGTGTGTAAAACTGAGAACGGGAGACACTTCGTGAGACACTTTGTGAGTATGGAACAATCTGCCCAGCCATGTTGATGAAGCCGATACCCTGGTTTCTTTTAAAAAAGGCTGGTTGAGGTACTCAGATCAATTAGCCACAACCCAATGGACTAGATAAGTCGAATGGTCTCCACTCGTTTGTAACTATGTTTTTCTGATGCTCTAGTCGCCTGTTTGATCTGTCTGGACACACCTACTTTTATACAGCTCTATTTCCAGTTCACATCTGTTCTCTCTCCCACTAGGAGACCTGACAGGTGCTGCGAGAATTTGTAATTAGCCCTTTCTGAGCCATCAAGTGTCTGAATAGTGCTGGGGAAGAAGTCTGTGCTTCAGAATTCATTGGCATTTATTGTTTCAGCCCTGTATTGTTTCAGTCTACAACTTTTTGTACAGCATACTTCTTGAACATCTCTTTACAGGTATGATCCTCTATTACTTTTTTTCTTTGCCTTGTCACTTGTGACTGTGGAATTTAAATTGCTTCTTTATCTGTGTACCTAGAATTTCCTATCTTGAGGGATTGATAATGGTACATTCCCTGGAGCACATTTGAATGTTTGAACCATTTCTTTAATAAAGTGCTAGTTAATGGGACCATAACTTTAGATAACACTGTTTACACAGTTCACTACTCAACATACTGAGACTGACACATACTGTACAATGCCACCATTGAAATGGGAAGAAACAAATCATCATATAGCAGAATAAGTTATGGATTTGCGCAAATTCTAATGACGTTATAGTGTAATCATAATAACATTCTACTGTGGAAGTGTAGTAGAAGGCTCCTGAACTGTACAAAGACCTAAAAAGGAGAAAACACACTGAAAACATTCAGTCTTCGAGTATATCATCATGGTTAAGGTCAGAAAAATCATTCAAGATGCCAACATTTCAAGACCTTGAAGTTCGGGGATGGCTATAAAAATCCACAAAAAGCTGAACCTACCATCTTGATTGTTCTCCTGTAGTGTCTATTGTCAAGAAATAAGGCTACTAGTATGGTTGCCTAGAAGAGACCAAAAGTGTATCTTCTCACCCCAGGTTATTACAAAGGGGTGTTTTTGGAGCCCTTCCCTTCAGACAGGGAAAATCAAGACATCAGGCCAAGCCAAACTTGGCAAAAAATGAGCCCAGTATGATAATGATCCTCAGCATACATCCAAATCGACAAAGGAATGGTTAACTGCACACAAGGTTCCTGGGTAGCCGTCTCAGTCTCCAGACCCCAGTAAAACTGAATATTTGTAACTCTTATTTAAGATGGGTGTTCAAATAGAAACCAAAAAGACTGAAGGGACTTTAAGGGAAGGAAAGAGCAATTCTACAGGAGGCATCTAGCCAGTGCAATCCCTGCCAGAGGAAGGGCTCATACATACTAACTACAAGGGGGTGAATAAATGTAACCTTCATATTGTCTGGACTTGCATTATTTATGAAAAACATGACGGCTGTGCGCAATGCTACGATGATTACGTTTAAACATTGTACTAATTTCTTTAACAAGAAACATGATCTAACCTGTAAATCTTTCTGTAATATGATCTTAGCTGTTCACCAAGCACATTTGGAGGTCACTGTATACTGGTTTTACCAGTATATAGGTACCACTACTATCAACACTATCAACACAGTATTTTAGTTCCTGAACATGAGAATCTACAACGAATATGTGAGATATGTCTAAAAGGAGATACAAACCCTGCCCCCAGCTCAAGTGAGCAGCAACACAGCATCTATTTGTATATCTGCACACCTGACACTGCTGTCTGCCGAGAGAACGTGGGTAGAAGTTCTAATTATGTTTTCTAGTTTGCGATTTTGTTAACAGTGACTCACCCACTAGGAGCTGTTATTTTTAGCTGTGGCAGTTACATCTGATGACGAAAAAATGGAGGTATGTATGACAGAATAATTACTAGGAAATACAGTGCAAAACTTGGTAAATAAAATATTTAGGATTACTTGAAATCAGGACTAGTTTTCTGCTGCCCAGAACAATTTTTGCCTGACCCCCTCAATTAATTTTTACTTGGTTTTTACCCATACCTACGTTTTGCAATGTTGACGCTTAAAATTTAAGAAAAGAAACAGAAACAGAAAGAAACAGAAGAAAACTTATAGTTAGTGAAATAAAACAATATCTTACTAGGGTATTTATTTAACAGGTTAATTTATTTCAGGTTAAGCTATTCATGTAATGCAACAAAGAAAAATGTTAGTGTCTTCCAGTGTGCCTAATTCCTCAAAATGTAAAGTTATCATATTAACTGAATTTTTCTCCTTTTAATATTTACGTAGTCTTTTAATATTTCAATTACATCTCATTTTTTGCTGTGGTACTTTCAATTAATATACATGCTAGTCCTGAGAAACGATTCTGGGACATGGTAGATGTCAAATAATTTTTTATTAGTTTCATTTTTGAGAAAATGTGCTCACTAGAAGCTTCTGAAACTAGTAATGTTATCATAATGTGTAATCCAATTACATTGCTTGGGGTAAAAAAATATTTCTTGCTCTAAATTCTAACAGATTTACAGGAGGTGTTTTAGGACTTATTAGATCAGATAAGGCTGTCAAATCATCATACATTTCTTCTCCATCAATGTCAGCAGCGTTATTAATACTGACCACTAAATGATGGAATCTGTCTTCAATGCAGTATCAGCATGCAATCGCTAAAATCTCTCTTCATGTTATACATGTTATAGCTACATCCAAAATACAATGGATTATCAGAAGACTCATAACAAAACTGGCTTTTCTTCTTTCGAGGACGAATGGTTTTTGAGGTGCAAATATTGGTCGGGAATCAAAATCCTTTGCCATTACTGCAGCTTTGATAGTTTCTTCAATTCCTTCAACTGAACAATATATATTTTTTAAAATTTAGAGTTTCATTCAAAACTGCCTTTGCTTTTAAGATGTTTTTGATTATATTCTGCACTTTACAGCTGTCTTGGACATTTCACAAGGCCTAATACTCCCCCTTGCACCTTTAGCTAAAATATTTTAAAAAGTGCTACCCTACTAATGATGGAGAACTGTTGTCTTTTCTTGTCAAATTGTCAAACAAATCTGTGTTTTATTTAAAAAATATTTTTAGCTGAGGATGCAAGGAGAATACAAATTCGAAAGAGAAAATTCGGGGGTGACTATAATTTTCATGGAAGTTGCAGATATTGGTCACTATTGGAAAATCTCTGTGATAACTAAATGAGGGACTTAACTGTTTACTCGCTGTGGTTTGACACACTCAAAACACTTGAATTTCCTGAAAATATCAATGGGTAAAGGTTTTGCTGAGAAATTTGAATTTTACCTGAGTTGATGTTTACATGGGGATATTTAAAAGATTATCTTTCTAAAGAGACTATCCACACAGATACCTCTTCAATTCTGGACCTGGGGTGCTGTCTGTGTGGAGTTCGTATGTTCTCCCCATTTTTGTGTGGGATTGCACTGGGTGCCCCGGTTTCTTCCCATAGTCCAGAGATGCACTGGTAAGTTAATGGGCTTCTGGGAAGACTGGCCCTGCTGGGAGTGTGTGAGTTGTTGTGTTTGTGTTCGTCTGCCTGGCCTGAGATGGACCCTGGGTTGCACCTGTTGCTTGCCTGGACCCTGAATTAGATAAAGCTGCTAGAAAAAGGATGAAATGAATGAATGGCCTTTTAGTACATAACCAGCACACGATTCATATGTTCGGTTAGTCCTTGGAACAGGTTCTGGCGTTACACGCAGGAAGCTGCACCTAACACTACTCTCCATATCTTAATATCTCAATATCTCAATACTTCACTATCTCACCATCTCAATATCAATGACTCGCACTCCCAGGCCTGTGCCAGTGAATTGACAGTGTCTTTGTGCGGGTGGGGGAGGGGGGGGTGACACTACCTCTGAAGCTGCTCCTCTTGCAGTTTGGCCCTCAGGGCCCCCAGGGTCTGGGCCATATCCTTGGATTCCCTGTGCAGCCTGTCGGCCTCGCTGGCGCGGGTCTCCTCCAGACGCAGCTGGTGCAGGGCGCTCTTTAACTGCTGCTGGAGCTCCAGGACCTGCCGTTTCAGCAAGAAGTGCAAGAAAGAGAGCGCATTATTCTCTCAGAGCTTCCTATTTTTATCTAGGCAGAGAGTTTTTCCAGAAGTGCTTTATAGAGTGTCTTTGTGAGTTAAAGCCTAACATGGGAGGCACCCTGGGTGGGATCTGGTATCCTGGTAAGCACGTTTTTGGACTGTGGGGAGAAACCAGAGTGGCCAGAGAAAACCCTGCTGGACATGGTGAGAGCATGCAAACTCCACACAGAATGCACAGAATACCGTACATTTAGTCCTTATTATTTAATGGTCAGCTTCCTGGCTGACTGCAAGTGTTTCTCCTAGGGACTGAATGAATAAGTACAATACCAGCAGCCATATCACCCTGCAACTCACAACTGGCAGCCCACTGAAGCTCAGCAGGTGTAAGCCTGGTCAACACCTGGCCCAGATTGTGGCATTAAAGAACAGACCCGGCGCTGGATCTGAAACTGGCAAGGACTGCCTGCTGGCCACTCCCAAGGGCAACTGTCATTAACCCAGTCAAACAAATTGTCGTGTAAGACTCAACCACAATGAACAGGAGGCACTTTGCTTTCACAAAGGCTCATATGAAGTCTGGACCAAGATATCCAGCAAAGCCAATATCCCAATGTCTATCAAGAAATGACTGGATGAGATACAGACAAATGGTCTCCTCTCATCTACAAACTTTCTAGAATTAAACCGGGCTGCCTGGAATTGAAAGATCTCCATTTATTGTTGAACGATCCAAGAGATGCTGAGTTTATGTTGTTGGCCGTCGGTGAATCAAAAGACAATGACATCGCACAACTTTTTAGCATGCAAGACACCGCAATGACCAAAATGTCTGTGAGGAACTGACGGATTTGATACCTCTGGACACCAATGTAATCTTGTGTTTGCAAAGGCCAGCGTCACCTTTGAGAAGCGTGGACTCGCACTAAGCAAGCCTTGCATGCTGGTAAGAAGGATGAACATTCAGTGCTGGGCCAAAGCAAGGGCTTCACCACACAACCGGTGGACAAACAGTGTGTTTCAAGCTGCCTGGGGATTGAAAGAAGTAAGGGAGAGTGTGGAGATGATCATTCTGATGGGGGTCCTCTGCCGCTCAGGTTATTTTATGAGCTGGTAGCTGCTTCCTCTAAAAGCCGTGAAAGTGTTCACTACAATGACGTTTGCTGGCATAGAGGACATTGCTGAGATGTTTCTTTTGAGCTCTAGACCCAAGATGTAGTAGCAGCTTTAACAAGAAAGCTGCTAAGTTCAGGGCTCATCTGAACGGCCAATTCCTCCACAAAGTCCTTGTTTCATATTTTGACAGTTGATTCAATTTTGACATGCTGAATCTACAGTTGCAAAGCTAGAAGCAAATCAATAACCCTGCTGTGTGGCTATAAGCCTTCCTTGAGCTTTGCACAGATCTGAACACTAACTGGTACATGATACAATCAGCCCCCTCCTGGCAAGTTCCCTTCAAAAGCTAAGGGACAATTTTATACAATGAGGGCCAAAAAATGCAATTAACTTTCAATGTGATCCTGTATCCTTACTGAAGAAAGATGTGAAGACGGGTTTAAATTAAATCCTTTTCTGTATGAGGTTTAGACTTCTAAACAACAAGCTGGAGTTTATGGCAGGAAAGGGGGTTAACTGATAAGGATTCCAGATGAGAGCTAAAACCCAATGGGGACGTAATCTTAAACTGACCATTTGGCCAGGGTCTCTTAACTGGCCAAATACCATGACCCCCTCTCCCTCTTTAACATAAGAATGAATGACGTCAGAGCAGCAAGGAAGGACTATATTAACCTAAAGTTTGTACCGGCACTTTGAACAATACTTCGGTTTTGTTGTTTCTTGCGGGAAACAAGACTTCGGCTTTATTGTTCCGTGCATGCAATAAACTCATCTGTTTAACTTCATCTCGGGATCCAGAACCTTATTCTTTCTGTTACAACACTAACAGAAAATGACTTCTCTTCTCACGTCCACAAAGTCCTCCACAGTATAGATGAACAGCAGCTTTCAATTCATTCATTTATGCAAATCTCAGAGTGAAGAGTGAGTTTAAGGGCAAGGAAACAGCAATGTGGACACGTAATCTGCATGAAGAGAAGTAGCTAAAACTCAGAAAACTATCCTAGTGCTCTCAATGTTTTATTCAACGTGTCCATGCATTTCCAGCCATTCAGTCATGCCAGAGAGCATGAGAAGCCATTTTGTTCACCAGCAGCACAAACTAATCAAGCACACATTTGTGACAATGTCAGAGCATACATATAAATCACACCTACTATATGAATGTGAACAGCTCACAACTGGGACTACAGCATGGTTTAGCTTTACATAAAATTAAACATTTTTAAAACAATGACATTAAACAATAAGGCATTAGTATAAAAGTGCCCAGGAACTCAACACCCTTCTCCCATTCTCTACATAAAACACTTTTCCTTCGTTTATTTTGTACAAAAAAAAACAACAATAAAACAAAATATAATAAAAACGACAACTTCATTCTATTTGCGATATTTCTGAAGCTCTAGTAAAACACACCTCAATTTTTCAGCCTGTTTATAATTTACAGTTGTTGTTTCTGCTACCCAGTGGGTGGAAAAAGCTGGTGGTTTAGCAGTCTGCGGCCCTGTTGGACCTTTGTCTCCCATGTATGCTGAAGTGTCTGGTTCAGCACTGCACGCTGGCAAGACACAACACAAGCAAGGCCTCCTACTGAAAGACACTGCTGCAGCGTTGCTAGGCTCCTTATTAGAGCTGGAAGAGATCTTTTGCAATTCCAAATCCACAATTTGCATTGGTTTAGCATTAAGACCTATTAAAAGGATTTGGCATGCAGGCTTCGCGTGTGGCCTCTTCACCATATCTCACAGCAAACTGACATAACAGTAGTAGCACTGCATGCTTTAATCCCAGTGATTAAACAAATACTACACAGGCCTCCTGGCTTATGTACAAAAGTACACAACATCAAAGCAGTACGTCTGCACAGTTCTCAAATTACCCAGTAAAATACTACTGAAGCAAGTTGGCATTCGGACAATATTCTCCTTAAGCACATTTTATAGGATGCTTATAAAATGTCACTGTATTGTTAAAGATATGCACCATGTTGCAATGGAATTTTTATTATTTCATTTGTAAGCAGGTTCTCCAGGAAAACAACAGACACTGAATGCCCCAGTGCAGCTGTGTTTTCAATTCAATTCAATTTATTTTTATATAGCGCCTTCCACAACAAGGTTGCCCCAAGATGCTTAACAATGCAATTGACAATACAATTGACAATTTGTCAATACAGAACAGAAGACCAGAAGACAACAGAGGGGAGGAACTAGAAACTCCTTAGTAAGGAGAATAAAACCTCTAGGGGTCCAAGGTCAACTGGTACCCAACCCCTTTGGGCATGCTAACATTACATAATTAAAACAAAAGGAAATAATGAGGGTATTAATCCTTCCATCCATCATGTCTTCTGTGTGTTTGTACTCCATGCAGATCTCTGTAGACCAGTAAATTCTTCCTAAAAGATAGCTATATCCCCGATGTCCCTCTTGGATCCATGGCAGTGATGCAGCATCCAACTCAAGATGGTACCTAGCCTGGGCGCTATCCGGACAATTTCCATGCATGCAAGCCATTATGGACACATGGTGGTCACACTGAACTCATCTATGCACCAGTGAGTGCTACATGCTCTCCGTGGTCCCATCCATATGCGTGCTTAATGTCACTGCTCCACATAGCTCTGATTGAACCGTTTACGCCAACTAACACCACACTTTCCCCCAGAACTGGCTCACGACTAGGCTCTGCTTCGATGTGATCCATTCCTTACCTTCTTATCGGCGGCGAGAAGCCGAGCTCTCTCCGAGCACAGCTCCTCCTCCAGGCTGTGCTGGGCCTGCCGGCTCTGGCAGCCCCTGGCCATCTCGAGCTCCAGCTCTCTGGCCCTCTGCTGAACGCGCTCCAGCTCCCCGCCCAGCGAGGCGCTGCTCTGTTCCAGCTGGGTCAGCCTGGCTTGGGCTTGCTTGAGCTCGGCACACACCTGCTCGCGACAGCAGGGCAGAGCGATCAGGCCTACTTCTGCAAGCTAGTGCTAGTTTGACAAGAGAGCATCCATTAGTCCATTTTTTTAGTTCTTAGAATGTCCAATAATTTTGTGTTCAGGACCCCCTGAGTTACAGAAACCACAGCTGTAACTTGGGGGAAAAAGGCACAGTATAAGGCCTTATGAACAATACAGGGACAGGGAGAACTGCAGTTCCTCTGGTTTTCTTCACTGCTATGCATGCATACATCCTAAATGCAACACAACATGCAGGTTATTCATTATTCTTACAAAATATAACTTTACAGCACATAAAACATAAAACAATGACTGCTTCATTCTTCTTCACTGTCCTAACAGTAGACTCATTAACTCCCATGAGTCCCCTTACAAAGCCTGGTCACCCACTACTATTCTCCTTTCTAAAGATATAAGATTTCTTGTCCCTTTTGCTCTTTCTCAGTCTCCATAATAAAACACAAAACTGACACTGGTACAGCAGCTCCTGTTGAACAGGCTCCCCGATATGTCTCTTATCTAGACAGACAGGAAGTGGAGATAGAGGTGCACACAGTCTGTCCTGAAGGAAGGACCACACTACACAGTTTTGTGGGGATTATTGCCAGTTTAATGACATTACATTACAAAAGATTACTGCCCCTTGCTGATTTTATTATGAGATATATGACTATTCTGGGTTCAAGATTAGTGCATAACATTTTATGATTCAATGATTTTCTTAATCAAAAACAATGTTATCCATTTATCTAGTTGGATATCTTATCCAATCTGTTAATTTCTCTGTCAAACGACAGTACTTATTCCTATTACTGAATACAAAGACCCCCCCCATGCTCAACTGAACAGCAACACAACATGTATTTGCATATCAGCACACGGGACTCTGCTATTATTTGGGGATTTTATTCACAGTATTTGACCTCTGAAAATTTGTGGTATTAGCTGTGGCTGGCAGATGTTTTGACTATAAAATAAGGTATTCTGATAATAATACTTGAGGGAACAAAATGCAAAATACATATGTAAATTCTCATGAAGTATACAGCTGCCGAATACGCCATTGAACACTGTGCAACATGGCACGGCTGAAAAACAGGACACTATATGTATTTGCCTATTCCTTCGACCTGCGCTGCGGCTCCTAGCGCAGCGCGCTGGTCTGTGGTCACTAGGGGTCTGGGTTCAAGTCCCCAGACTACTCTGTGGTCGGTGATGGTCTGGGTTCAAGTCCACAAACTGCAGAGACTGGGGTGGAATGGTGGCTCTGTGGCTAAGCATCTGAGCCTGTGGCTGGAAGGTTGCCGGTTCAAATCCTGCATCTGGAAGAGGAATCCTACTCCGTTGGGACCCTGAGCAAGGCCCTTAACCCCAGCTGCTCCAGGGGCACCGTTTAAATGGCTGACCCTGCGCTCTGACCCCAAGCTTCTCTCCCTGTCTGTGTCTCATGGAGAGCAAGCTGAGGTATGCGAAAAGATAAACTCTCAATGCAAGAAATTGTATATGGCCAATAAAGTGATCTTATCTTGTCCTGATTGGGTTCTCACACCACACACAGCTCCAGATCAAAGGTTATATGAATACTGCAATCAAATACTGTGTAGCACACTTAGCTTAAGCGACAAACACTTACTAAAGGCATCACTCTCACAATTCCCTTTCTGCTTTTTCTCAGCCTCAGAACTGATGCCTATGGGCTGTGCTCAAGAGCAAAGCTACTGCCTTACAAGGAGAACACACAGAGGGACCTAGCGGCGTCTGCTCGGCGCGACGGCTTCTGAGGGAGCGAACGGGAGGCTGGTGGGATGTGTGGGCAGGATGCTCACAGGCAATACAAGCAAATTGGGGAAAAAGGCGCGGCATAAACCGAGGAGACAATTCCAACCTGCGGCCAGTGAACACAGGAAGGAGAGATTATTGTAGTGCCAGGTGTGTCTTTATGTCCCCAGCTCACACCCACCCCAGCATCCACACAAGGAGAGTGAGGAAGGGCAAACAGACGCCTCTGGGCTGTCCCCCCCTCCAGCCCTTTGTTGATTGATACACTACAGCAATAGAGAGGGGGGTTCAGTGCTGATTGGAAGGGAGGTGTCCCCCTCTCTTTCTGAGAGTGTGGTGCAGACACATGACATGACCAAGGGGTCACAGTTTGGCTGGAAGCTGAAAGAGCTGACTTCATCTCTGCTCCTCCAGTGCTTACTTCTGACTCCATATCATTCCCTGCCAGGAAGGGATTGACAAAGCCAATCCTGACCTCAATTTCTCACTTTCAACAGAAACACACTGATGCTACTTCTCTGACAGCTCAAAGTCCAAAGATCTCCACTGGATACAAGATACAGTAAGATTAAGCAAGAATCCCATCTGACTAATCCCTGCTGTGCTCTCCCTCTGAACCCCAGGCTCCACATTACGACAAATAGTTGATCAAGGCTGAGCTCAGCTTGTGCTCAGGGCCTGTACTGACTAACTGACTCAGACGCCTCATTCATTATTCCTTTTTAAAAGGTGAAAGAAATTCATTCAATAAAATTGTATTGTTGATGGACAACTACGCCTGCACTTCTCCATTGCTCACCTTCTGACTCAATAGCATTCGGGTAAGCACTTCGGGTGATTCCTGATTCACGACACAGCAGGGCAGAGTAAAAGAACGTTAGGGGGATTGTACAAAATGAGGGACATAACGAGGTAGAAATACTACAGTTATACTGGCTCTGAAAGTCACCTTTCAACCTGGAACAGGAGGAAATTAAACAAGGCTGTTGAAATTCTGACAGGGACTAACAAATCCAGCCCTCTATTTCAACAGAGAGAGACCGATGTTATATTTATAGCTGAATGGGTCACAAAAATCAATCAGATTTGCTGTTCGCATTTGGAAAGGTGACATCACAGAAAATCTACAGAGAATAGGTTTAAGGTCTAAAGTGCTTTCCTAGCTGAGCGTTTACAGGCAAGTAAACTCAGGCAGTCCATCAGGGTTCTCTGCTTTGCAAATCATTAGAGGCTTCATTAGGCCAAGAAGACAGGGAGGAAGGGAGATTTAGTCTGGAGTCATATTCTTTCATTGAGGATGCAGGGTATTTCTCTTGCTAGCCTGTAAAGGTGTTAGAGAGTGCTTTGGGTTACATGGCAAGCACAGTGGTTTTCTCGGCCTGTAGAACACAGGACTTTGAGATGCCTTGTTTTGTATACAGAGTAATGTGAACGTCTACGTTGTTTAATGTTTTATGTTGTTTAGTTTTGTGTTACTTTATTGTTAAACATTTGTCTGTTCTGACTCAGATTTTATTACTCCATTGCCATGGCTTTTCCAAAGAATATAAATTCCTAGTAATTCCTCAAAATGTTAGCCAGCACCTATGTTTGTTTATTTCAATTATTTTATTTCTCACTCTTAAGTACAGTGCTGTAATGCAATTTGTTACCCTGCATTTGGTGATAATTAGATGCTTTGCAGTTGTTTTCACGCGCAGTTACTATAACTGCGTTTACCCTCAAGAAGTGAAAGCTTTAAAGATCGCTGCCGTACCCTCAGCTTCTCCTGGTCCAGAAGAGCGTTGTGCTTCTTCAGGTCCAGGTTTTTCTCCCGCTCGTAGCGCAGCTCCCTCTCAGCCGAGGTGAACAGGCTCTGGGTCCTCTGCGCGTCCTGGCGGATCTGCCGGCACTCCTCTCCCTTCTGCTGGAGCAGGGCATCCTGGGACTGAGACGCACAGGGCGGCACAACGCGCGTGTCAAACTCCCGCTCACACGCTCTCCCATCAGAGAGTATGTCCACTCTGTGCAACTCTGAACAGTTTTCATTAACCGCCCTTGGCACGGAAAAGGAAGGATGAACTCTCCATGCAACAAAATCAGAATAAAGTAGTTGAACCACCTACTCTTCAACTGAAAGATACCGGTAACTATTTTCTGAATAGTGGATCTGAAAAGATTAAAATCTCAAAGAACTGCATGAGTGTGATATCAGCCAAACCTGGTGTATGAAAAAAAAAAATATCTAAAAAAGTGTCCTGGAGCAGTCAATAAGGAATGTGGCAGGTATACCTATTTGTAAATTCATCATTAATACATAAGTAAAGTGGTACACGTTTACAGTAAAAGGGGTTTCGAGAGGTGTACCTTAGCCCGTGCCTGGGCCTCGCTGATCTGGGCCTGTAGGGCCAGCTGGTGCTGGCTGGCAAGCAGGCGTTCCTCTTCCAGAGTGGTCTGGAGTCTGCCCATCTCCACCTTGAGAGACACTAACTGCACACAAGACATCTGCTCAGCAAGGCAGCAAGAACAGTGGGGGGAAAAAAAAAACTGTGGTTGTGTCTCGATCTTGACTGACACATCAGAAATCCTGGAACGCTGGAAATACTGTTTCCTCAGGGTACCCCAGTTAGTAGGCAACAGATTACAATGTCAATGTCTACGATACCACTCCTAAAACTTCATGACATACTACAAAAGCCTGAACACAGCTCTTTTAGGAAATTTCGTGTTGATTGGTGTTCTCAATGAGCACGGTTTCAGGGTTAAATAGGTTGAGAGTCAGGAACACCCAATTAATTGGAGCCGAATCTGTTAAAATGCCAGTGCATTCAATGCCCAATGGAAGATTAAGAAGAGTATAAGCAATTTATTTTAACATTTTGCTTTTAGGGCAATTTAGACAACATTTCCATTTAGGGCAATGTAGTGTATACAGCCATATCTGCAAGAAAGATAACATTTAAATACAGTACCACATTTCCTAAATGTCACTTCTGTCCTAAAACACAGCCATGCCTTCAAACATCCTTTATGTTTTCTAATAATCCTAACCCTGACCCTAGCTAAGGGTTTGGGGAGATTAGGTTTAGGGTTCAGATTTTCTTCACAGAATTAAATACAACCTTTCACTCATTTGAGCGGAAAATGTAACTCAGAGCACCAAAATATATGTTTGAAAAGACTAAGCAATCTTTCCAAACCAAAGAAAATGTATCAACTATGGTACAATTGTATTTTTTGACAACAATCCTGTTTTTTGAAATTTCGTGTTGAATGGTGTTCTCAATTAGTATAATTTCAGGGTTAAATAGGTTGAAAGTCTGGAATACCCAATAAATCTTAGCTGTATCTGTTAAAATGCCAGTGCATTCAATGCCAAATTAAAGAGTTAGAAAAGTATAACCAGTTTCTTTCAACGTTTTGCTTTTTGTGCAATTTAGATAACATTCCCATTTAGGGCAATGCAGTGTATACAGCCATATATGCAAGAAAAAAAAAGTGATAACATTGAAATACCACCTTTCCTAAATTTCATTTCTGTCCTAAAACACACCCATGCCATCAAACATCCTTTACAGTTCTCACTTCACTTGTCACTGAGAATCACAGAAAAATCGGACTCCATTCAAAACCGAGATGTATCAAGAGATCTTTCGTAGGTGAAAAGACAGATTGTACTAAATAATTATGGCAACAAAGCAAACAGCTGAATTATAAATTCATAGTTTTGTGAAATTTAACTCATACAGTAACATAATGACATAAAACTATTTCAGTGGTTCAGGAAACATATCAGAAAGTTCCACCCTGCAAGGCAGACATAATATAGATAGTGAATCTGCTGCAGAGTTTTAAAGATGAGGTGAAAATTATGGCTTATCAGAAGGAAGGCCTCCACAACAAGGGCACAGAAATCTACGTCTTAGCTACTTAACACTGCTCCCATAGACAAGACTGCAAACCACCTTCACATTCATCCAAATGTCCATCATTGTAAATAATCGATGTGCTAAATAATAAAAATTATAGTAATTGTATTAAACTTCATAACCAAAGAACTCCCCTCCACCCACCTGGGTGACACACAGGAGCCATTATTACATCACAGGAAAGTGCATTTACAATTGAGAACAGGAGACACTGCTTTCGCCTAAGAGTTGTGGTAGTCAAGAACAAGCACCCAGCCATGCTGCTGAAGCCGATACCCTGGCTTCCTTCAAGACATAGTGGGATGAGACCTTTGGATCAATTGACTACCAAACGAGGCTAAATGAGCTGAATGGCCTCTTCTCATTTCGAACCGATTTTATGATCCTATGTTCTTATGCACCAGCAGCACACGGTGCAATGATATGAAGCGGGTGGGGAAATAAGAAAGTGCTTCACCACTTGAATTAAGGGGGCAGTTTATGTAAACCAGACTGCAAGTCCGGACTGGAATTGAGCCAGGATACCCGAATTAATGACCCCGCTCTTATGAGACCTCTATTGACCTTATTATAAGAATAATAATGCTCACCTCACACCAGTTATTAGTAGGGAGGCAAACACAGGGATGAAGCTAATTCATAGATGGGGATTATTAGGAGGCCACGATTGGTAAAGGTCAGGGGGAAATTTGGCCAGGACACCACCAGGACACCCCTTTTTGAGAAATGCCCTGGGATTTTAAATGGCCACAGAGAGTTAGCCCACTAACACCTCTTCTAGCAATAGTACACAAGAGTCTAGGTCTCTAACAGAACAGTTAGGCACACGTGAGCTTAAAGGGGGAACCCCAGAACGCAATGGTGCATGGGTCACACGGGGTGAGGCGCGGGGCCGGGCCGTACCTGGCTGGCCCCCTCGTCCCTGGGCCTGTCAGGCGGGGCGGAGCCGAGGTCCCGCCCCGCCTCCTGCCTCAGCCTCCGGCCCTCCTCCCTCGCGCTGTGCAGCTGCTCCCTCACACACTGCAGCTCCAGGCTCAGCCTCTGCTTCTCCTCCTGCCGCCGCAGCCGGTCCTGGGCGCCCTCGTTCAGCTGCTTCTGGAGCTCCGCCAGCTGGGCGCGGCCCTCCGCCAGCGCATCCCTGGTGCCCGGACACAACACAAGCCCGTCTGTCTCTCACCACGAACTACTGCAACCCCAAGCGCTAGTGCTCTGCTGAACACTGATACTATATACTGGATATGAGAGTAAAGTAGAGTAGTTTATTGCCATATGTACACGTACATTGGAATTCTTAATCGCGCTGATCTCTCGGGACACACACAGTACAACAGACAACACCACACAAGGTAGACAACAGGAACAATAAATATATTGCGGAAAAATAAATATGCAGCAGTGAGACCGAGAAAGAAAAAAAAAGTAAAAAGTGCAGAGTGCAGATGTGTATTGAGTCTGAGGCCCTGCAGTTAGCTGTTGAAGATGCGCACTGCAATGGGATAGAGTCTAGTGAGTCTAGTCTAGTGGTCTGTGCTTTAATAGAGCAGTACCACTTGCCAGAGGGTAGGGGGGAGAACAGTTTGTGGCCGGGATGGCTTGGATCCTGAATGATGGATCGGGCTTCATTGCGACAGCGGATGATGTGGATCTCACCAATTGATGGTAAATCATATCCTATAATCCTCTGTGCTGTTGCCACAACCCTGTGTAGTGCGTCTCTGTCATGTGTGGTAGTTCTGCTGTACCACACAGTGATGTCACTAGTGAGCTTTCCCAAACCACATTTCTTTACGCACCGCAGAAGGCGCAGGCGCTGTTGTGTCTTTTTCAGATTCGCTACAGTGTTGTGAGTCCAAGCCAGGTCGGTGGAGATGTATAGGCCGAGGAGCCTGAAGCAGCTGACAGTTTCCACTGCTGTGCCCTCGATGCTGACTGGGGCGTGACTCCCTCTGGGTCTCCTGAAGTCCACTATCAGTTCTTTTGTCTTGTTGACAATCAGGGCCAGATTGTTGTCAAGGCACTAAGACACTCCACCTCTCTCCTGTATGCGGATTCATCATTGATGTTGTTCAGTCCAATAATAGTGGTGTCCATCTGCAAACTTACTGATGTGGTTGCTGTTGTACAGTCGGAGGTGAACAAGGAGTATAGCCTAGGACTTAGACAGCAGCCTTGTGGGGCTCCAGTGTTTAGGATCGCTGTAGAGGAGATATTTTTGTCAATTTTCACCACCTGAGGTCTGCCCGTCAGGAAATCCAGTATCCAATTGCAGATAGAGTTGCATAAGCCCATATTCCTGAGTTTGGGCCCGCTTGGCAGGAACAATTGTGTTGAAGGCCGAGCTGTAATCAATAAACAGCAGCCTAACATACTGTAGGTGCCCACTCTGTCTGAATGATCTAGGCCAATGTGAAGTGCTAGAGATATGACATCATCAACTGACCTATTCGGGCAGTAAGCAACCTAAAGTGGGTCAAAGGAGTCTGGGATAGAGCAATTTAGGTAGGACAGTACTAGTCTTTCCAGGCACTACTGAAGTGAGAGCCACTGGGCGGTGATTGTGAGTGATTCCAAATCGCAATCTGAGGCGCCCACTAATATCCCAGGTTTTAATGTCACCCAAGATCTATAAAAAAAGAACTTGGATAATATTAATACCTGAACCATCCATTTGTTTGACAAACAAAAGTGATTATTTCCCCTAGTCAGTGCAGACCCCAGGCCCTACAAGTTGTAGCCTAGTGTTTCTAAGTATATCAGTGCTTGACAGCAAATTCCACTTCTATTCTATGGTTTTTGCAACAGTACATGAGTTGTGATCTGTGCACAGGTGCTGCCAATCTCCAGGCTCGGGCTGCTCACCGCAGGGCGTTTCGATCCCTCTCCAGGCTGCCGACCTCTGCCTTCAGCCCCCCGACCTGTGCCCTGAGCTCCGAGGCCCGCGCCCTGCTCTGCCTCAGCTCCTCCTGGGCCCCCCGGCTGGCTGTCCGCTGCAGCTCCAAGTCGCTTTCCAGCCGCGCCTGTGCACGCTCCAGCTCGGACACCTGCAAGCACGCCAACACCCCAGTTCACACGGTGCACACCCTCGCCTCTCCGTTGCGCTTTTCAGCACTGAGAAGCGTTTTTGCTGGAAGAGTTAGCATGACAAGGGATATTCCAAGGATTAGAAGCTCAGAAGAGGAAAACTGCCTAGAAAAGGGCATCCCAACACAAGGGTATCTTTCCAGCTCTTCCTTTTTGATCTATCAATCCATCCATCCATTTCATAAGTGCGTTATCCAATACAGAGGCACCAGCTGGTACGCCATATGACCCTGGAACTTTGTTGTGTGCACTGAAAATTCGGGACGGGTTTTCAGATTTTCTATTTTAATATATGTTGAATACGCAGCACACGTACTACGATCCAGCGCGCTAATACTTGAGTGGACACAAGAGCTACAATGTAATTCTTTACCACTCTATAGGAATGCGTGCTACGAACATAAGTGACCAATTGTATTAAAAAAAACATATCTCCAGCAAATAGGGAGGTAGGGGAATGTGCATGATTTTGGAACAATGCCAATGTTGTAAGCACAGGAAAGCATAGAAATGCGTGCTACGAACGCTGGCAATCTTGTGAGCACAGGAAAGCGTGATAGATAACCGAAAAATATTTAAGAACTCTTCTAGGTTAATTTGAAAAAAGTGTCTCTGTGTTTCGTTCCCATGTGCATGAAAAAAAAACTTCTTTTAACTTCTGAGATAGACTCCTGAAACAGAAACGGAGAAAAATGCAAGCTTGCGGATTGCTAAAGCAGGTAAGCCCCACACTATTTTTGAAGAACCTTATTTACCATTGGCAAAAGAGCTGACATGTATTATGTGTGGAGAAAAGGCTGCTAAACAGCTCGACCTGCTGCCCCCTCCCCCTGAAAGACACAGTCACTCATAGAATTATTGATATGGCGGATGATATCAAAAGTACGCTGATAGAGCGTGTTAAGATGAGCAGATGCTTTTCACTGCAATGAGATGAGTCTGTAGTCGATTTGGTCAATTTGCTCGTTTACGTTCGATACGATTTTGAGGGCATGTCCCATGAGGACTTTCTGTTCTGTAAGCCGCTACATACAGGAACTACAGGAGAGCACATTTTTCAGCTTCTGAATGAATTTATCGAAGAGAATGGCATCGACTGGATAAAATACCCCGGAGTTTGTACAGACGGTGCTAGAGCAATGACAAGCCGACACAGTGGTGTAGTTGCACGAATTAGAGAGGTTGCTCCAGATATGAACTGCAGCATCCACCGCGAGGCCTTGGCCATCAAGAAAATGCCTGAGGATTTAAAATCTGTTAGACTCTGTTGTGAATTGTATCAAGGCTCGACCAATGAATTCACATCTGCTTTGCTTGACTAAACAGGCTCACCCCACTTACTGAAATGGTGCTTTTTTATTGTTTATTTTTGATTGTTGTTGTTCTGTAAAGCACTTTGAGAAGCCACCTTTAAAGGCACTATATCAAATAAAGTTTATTATTATAAAATTTATTATATGTGTATGCGAGTGTGTGCACGCACACACGCTCATGTTGGTCATTGAGATTTTCTGGGGTTCCTATTAGTAGATGACTTGTAGGTGGTAGGTGGTACTTGGATGCTTTGGTTTGATACTTGGTCCAGAAAGTTTGAGAACCACTGCACCAGTCTATTGCAGGGCCCACACAGACACAATCACGCACACACTCACACCAAGGTAAGTTTTCTCAGAATGCAATTAACCTACCAGTTTGTCAGCATGTCTTTGGACTGTGGGAATAAACCAGAGCCCCTACAGCTCACCCACACGAACACAGGGGGAACATACAAACTCCACACAGACAGCTCCCCGGGAATTGAACCCAGGGCCCCAGCGCTGCAGGGAAGCAACCATGCTGCCACCTTTTTGAGCTATCCAGCACTTAATATTTTCTTTTGAGAGCTATTCAGTAGTACATGGCAAGATTTGAAAATAAGCCATGACACAAGTGTTTTACATGCTATGTAAGATGGCACAGAATTCAAAGGAAATGATGAAGTGCTGTCTGCATGCCAGATCAGAACACTTGGAACTGCATAGACTGAAGCCAGGATGTGGTGTGGTGTGGAACACAGTGTAGCAGGCAGCACCATCTAGTGATGAGAAAAGCACCTGCTGCAGTGGATTTCAAACTTTTGTGGGGAAAAAAAACTTGCACACTCTAAGGTGCCTCAAGACAAAAACAATGAGACAGCAATGCATTTCCAGAGCAAACTGGATCACCTGCACAGAAGAGGCCACTTTCTCTCATACAGCAGTGTTAAACCTGTAAGGTAGAGTAGCTCCAACAAGTACCAAGCTGCAAAAAGCAGTAGAAAAAAATACTGCACCCAAGTGGAGATTTAGACCAGTTAAAAACATCCCAAGCTATGCTCTATAATCTGTGCAGCTGTCCTTTACAACAGAACCTTAGCAAAAAACACGCAGGCAGTGGGATTGCCAATGCACTCTAGTGGACAGCAAACACAGTGTCACCAAACACTACAAGCCTCAAGGCTGTGTCCTACTGTATCTCTGGGGCTTTTCTCCCTTTTTTACAAAAAACTTCACATCCTGGGCTGACTCGGTTAAGATTTTTAAATATGCAGATTATGCTATTATTGGCCTCGTCTCTCATAATGATGAGGTTCTACAACCCCAACCTGGCGTTCTGATCATCAATGGTCATCGCAGTTGTCTGTCGCATGTTCAACTCAGCTCAATAATGCTCAACAATGCATCAGAAACCAGGGAGATCATTATTGATTTTAGATGTGTCCAGAACACACAATTTCCCATCACCATTAATGACCATCAATAGTGACCACAAATTCCTTCCAATTCTTGGGATCATGTATAAGTGACAACCTTAAAAGGAACCCCAGCATAGATCACATACTGTACTTAAGGCGGCACAGCAGACGATGTACTTTCTCTGTACTTCAGAAACACAGCGAGCCAACAACTTCAATTGTACACATCCACTATTCAAATTATTTTGACAACTTCCATCTCTGTTTAGTATGGGAATTTGGAAAGCTATACAAAAGGAAAACTGGAAAAGAGCATGTCCGAAGACTCAAGTTTATGCTGTGAACGCCCTTCCATTTTTTCCTTGACACTAGCTATACATTCAGTTGTACTTACAAGATTATTTCCGACCCCTCTTAGTCAGCCCATAATAATAATAATAATAATAATAATAATAATTGCTTACACTTATATAGCGCTTTTCTGGAAACTCCACTCAAAGCACTTTACAGGTAATGGGAATCCCCTCCACCACCACCAATGTGCAGCATCCACCTGGATGATGCGACGGCATCCATAGTGCGGCAGAACGCTCCCCACACACCAGCTCTCAGTGGGGAGGAGAGCAGACTAATGAAACCAGTTCATAGAGGGGGATTATTAGGAGGCCATGAGTGGTAAGGGCCAATGGGAAATTCTGCCAGGATGCCAGGGTTACACCCCTACTCTTTTCGAGAAACGCTCTGGGATTTTTAATGACCACAGAGAGTCAGGACCTCGGTTTTACATCTCATCCAAAGGACGGTGCCTGTTTACAGTATAGTGTCCCCATCGCTATACTGGAGCATTAGGACCCACATGAACTGCAGGGTGAGCGCCCCCTGCTGGCCCCACTAACACCTCTTCCAGCAGCAACCTTAGTTTTCCCCAGGAGGTCTCCCATCCTGGTACTGACCAGGCTCACACCTGCTGAGCTTCAGTGGGCTGCCAATTGTGAGTTGCAGGGTGATATGGCTGCTGGCATAATCTTTTTCAGCTCTTCCCTTCAGGCAAGTGCTTTAAATCAATCCTCTTCAACCTCTTCTTTCCCACTACCATGCAAACCCTTTCCACCTTCAGGTATTTACTGTAGCATCTCTTTTACAATCCCGTTTGCTACATGTAAGACGAATGTTTACATGTGCATGTGAATGGGATTGTGTTTTGCTATTCAATCTGCATTTTGTTTTTAATACTGTGTGTGTTGTATGTTTGCCTTATCGGTGTTCTCTTGCTGCACCAAAAGCAAATTCCACCAGATATCATTTTGTGACAATAAAGAATTCTACTCTATTCAAAGTCTATGTCACTACAGAAGAATAATTATATGACCTTTATGTATAAATGGGTAAATCTTTTTTTTTCCCCAAGACAAGAAAAATCTCAGCTTTTATGGCACCGATGCTACAGACGTTGGTTGCTGGAGAGTGAGATGTGAAGACTTGCCTTGTGCTCCAACAAGTCCTTCTCCCCCTGCAGCTGTGTGAGGCTGGTGCTCAGGGACCTGCTCTCCTGAAGTCCAGCTCTCAGCGCCTGAGTCTCCATTCGCAAGCTCCTCAGCTCACCCTGACTCCTGTGCAGCTCCTGAAGACAAGAACATAAAGCCTTTACCAATAAATGCCATTTGGTACATTTAGACTGCCTGGTTATGGCCTGCAAATCAATCCTAAAATCTAATTTTATCTTCCTGAATGATCATAGGGTTTCCATTTCAACAACGTGACTGGGTAACCTGCTTCAGACTCCCACCACCCTCTGTGTAAAGGTACCCCTTTTCTTCTCATGCTTCAATATACCTCTTCCTTGGTTTTCACTTGAGCCCACTGGTTCATGTTTTACCACCGTCCTTCAATGTGTCCATTGAGGTACATTTTCTCCAACGCATTTGAAGTATAACTGAATGAAGTTTCCTGTTCAAGACTAATGTTCAGCAAATGACTAATTTTAACAATCAGCATATGAAGTTAATTAATATATCTGGTTGCTCTTGCCTTTTGTAATGAAAAATCGAATTGTACACAATACAATTGCACGCAAAACATGTGAACACACAACAATTGAGACTAGCTGTTAGTATCTCTTCTGATCCCTAACATGTTTTGCATGAGGAATACCAACTGATTCCTTCAACTAGGTAAACAGACATTTTAGAGTCCCTCAGGGCAGGTGTAACCTTACGAGAAATTCTTTTATCCCACATTTGATCAAACTACTCCACAAACGGACACAATAAAGGAGTGCTGTTTTATGGGAAATTGCAATTAGTGGTTATGTGAGGAAATGGAAGGTATTGTGCAATTATAGTGGCTTGGGGTTATTGTGGGGGAAGTGAACTTACAGGTTCTGGTAAGCTGTGTAGGAGTGGTGTGTAATGTATGGGTTGATGTCTTTTATGTAATGTTATATTTATTCTTAATGTAACATTAAGATGTACTGTTTATACTTTTTGTAAATCGCTGTGTGTGTAAAATATAACTGCGTGGATGAAAAACAAGCAGAGTGGTGGCTCTGTGGCTAAGGATCTGAGCCTGTGGGTGGATGGTTGCCGGTGCGTATCCTGCGGCCGGCAGGGGAATCCTACTCTGTTGGGCCCCTGAGCAAGGCCCTTTACCCCCACTGCTCCAGGGGTGCCGTATAAATGGCTGACCCTGCGCTCTGACCCCAAGCTTCTCTCCCTGTTTGTGTGTCTCATGGAGAGCAAGCTGGGGTATGTGAAAAGACAAATTCCTAATGCAAGAAACTGTATAATAAAGTGATCTTAACAAATGTCTTGAGAAATTCTATCGTAGGAAGAGTATTTCAGACCTGGAGCACAGGGAAGACCAACTGCAGCCAGAACTCCCAGTACAATAACCTGCAATCACTCAAGCGAGCTGTGAGGGAGGGACGGAGAGGAAGGCAACCTTAATAACAGCCCATCCTCTGCCCCCTTAAAAACAGCTGAAGGAAGACCCGGCTCTCTGCTGTCTGGTGTTCAGAAGCCCTGTAGCCGTTCGGCTCTATATAAGAAGAATGGAGCCCCACCTCCCTCTCCTTTTTCAGGGTGCCCTGGGCAGCAGTCAGGTCGACCTCGAGCTGCTTCCTCCACTCCTGCTCTTCCGTCAGACGCCCCTCCAGCACCGCCAGCTTCTCCTGGCTGCTGCTCTTCAGCTGCGGGACACGGGGGGATAAATCGTAGACCATCGCTCAGCCCCCTGCACAGCCCTTGCAGCTTGGGCTTGCAGACCCCTTCACGAACGGCCGAGATGAAGCTGAGCTCAAGCCTGTGTCCGGTGTGCAAGTGGCCTCCAGTCACTTGGCCTAAAGCAGGGTTTCTACATCCTGGACAGGAATCCTCTAACTGGACATTAGTGGACTTTAAAACTTGTATGTAAACTCTAATTTGGATTTTAAAACAGGCCTAAAACACTACAGTCAAACAGGTCTACAGCAGCAGGTCTACAGAGGTTAGCTCCTTAAAATGGTGTTTACTAATCATTAATCAGTTTATCAATCTATGCGCACGCTTTACGTTGGAATATTACGGTTTCTACTTTAAGAATCAATGGTTCAATGGAGAACCGGTAAAGGAAAATGTTTCTGGAAATCTAATTACATAACACTGTACACCTGTCAGCTGTCTGGTGCATGTTAAAAAACTGCTAGCAAGTCAAACAAGACCGTTTTTAAATCCATATCGGCTGCTTCTTTAAATGCAATTGTTGAGCAAAAATTCTTTACGTTTAGTTCTATCACAACCACGCAGAAATAAGAAGGCTGATTGGTGAGTTTGATACAGTATGATTCCTAAAACATGAATTCCAATATCTTATTATTTCTAATGAGTCCAATATTTGGGGTCTTCAGTTCCCCAGAAAGGTAAACAGTGAGTATGAGTATCAGAGGCAGATTTGCTTGGCCCAGGTGATTCAACATAAATGTCAACTGAACCTGATCCTTAAAAGGGAACTGCAATGCTATTTTTTATATTTCAGGATTAGAAAGAATCACAATGATCAGTACATTTCAAACCACAATGAAAGTAAAAAAAAGTGTGTACAAACAGAACCTTTTTAGAGGGTTGAGCAGTAGAAAATAAAAATACTTTAAAAGAATGTAAGATTCTTGTTTGCTTGGTTACCAGCTGCTAACGCATCCCAGATACACAATTAGCTGATTTATACGACTTGCAGAGAATCAGCTGAATTGCTTGTTCCAGATACCCTCTGTTTTCAGCTCTGTCCACTTCCTCTAAATGTCCACTTGCACCCCCAGGTCTGTGTTTTATGGCTGAGCTTGGATGAACATCTTGGCTTAATGTAGGTGATGCCTCTGAGGATTTCAAACACTTAAATGTTTTGTTAAATGCCTTTATCAATCTCCTCAGTTCAAAAAGAAGTCTGGTTTCTAACCTGCCTGTGGATAAGAACATTTTT